CTTTGCTCCTTCCTTCCTTTCTCTCTTTTCTTTCCAATCAAATGTATATTGGACCTTATTTTTGTATCCTTTAAGAGTCTCAGATAGATTTTTTTTTTAAAGCACAGTACTCATAGATGATATTATTTGTTTTATGAGCCAGTCTGTTATTTAACTGAAAGGTAACCTTCAAGTATGGTTTCAATATAAAGTTTAAAAGGTACCTTTGGGTGATAATTTCAAGCGTTCCTGTAATCTCTACTGGTCTAGTAAGCCTGACCTTTTAAAAAAATAATTTAAGTTTTGTTCTTCGTATTTCTTCCATTCTCTCTGGGATCATGAGTTGTGTGTCTAGAACATTGAACTATTGTAGTAGGTGGGCACCATTCTAATTCATGGGACTGTGGGCTGTGTAGGATGTAGTCCTTTACATTCGTTTCTTCTTTGAGTGTTTGGTTTTCTTCTTTCTCTTTTACTCCACATGAGTAAAGACCAATAGTTGTATCTTACAATGTTTTAAGCATTTTATCCCATACCCCTCCCTGTCTTCCCTTATCCAACATCTTGACTGTTTGTCCATGGAGAGTAGGACCCCTGTGCCTTAACACTGTTTTATTTTAGTGCCTAGCATAGGATTATTCTTAGACAGTATGTATTGATTGTTTTGAAAGACAGCTGATGAAAGAGGGTGAATGCGAAGATAGATAACCAGTTAGAAAAGGCCCCTTAGAGCTTATAGCTCACAATCGTTTGCTTCTCCACACAGCTTTTCTTTTTCTAAGAGAAAAACTCCCAAATACAGCCAAACAAAATCTCCATGACGCAAAGTGCTGAGAAGCATAGCAAAGCATCTTACTGTAACAGGCTTCTTTTCACTCTTGTCTCTCTGCAAACAGAAGGAGCTTCAAGAGCAGGGGGAGATCAGAGTCATCCAGCTGGGCTTCGACTTGGATGCCCATGGGATTATCTTCACCGAAGACTATAGGACCAAAGTATGTGTGACTGTGTGCATGTCCGGAGGCGGGGGAGGGGAGCAAGGAAATTAGGGAGCCAGATGTAAAGGAGGGAGCTTGGGGTTCTGGTAAATAATAGTATGAGAAGGAGGAGAGAGGAGGTAGAAGAAGATACGAGGGATGAAAGGGCATGAGCAAGAGGTGGAGAGGTAGGAAGAGCAATGTTGGCCTGGGGGTGGAGGTTGGTAGAGATGGGACTAGACTGTGTCGCTCTCGTCTTTGGTTTCAGGTCCTCAAGGCCTGTGATGGCCGACCATATGCTGGAGCTGTACAGAAGTTTCTGGCTTCGGTGCTTCCAGCCTGTAGGGACCTTAGCTTCCAGCAGGACCAGATGACACAGACCTTTGGCTTCAGGGACCCAGAGATCACGTGAGACTTGGGGGACCAATAGACTCAAGCATCTGGCTCTTCCTGCTTCTTTCTGATCCCATTCAGCCTTGTCCTTTCCTTCTAGTGAACCTGCCAAAGAGGCTGGCACTTGTTTTTAGTAAAGTGACCTAAGTTGGTACTCCTTTGCCTACGAGAAGAAGCTATCTTACATGGGTCCTTGGCAAAAGCCCTGGACTTGAATTCAGGAGATCTGGAGGGCTAATCCAATGCATACAGGGCTCTGGCAGGAACCATCAATGCCTGCCATGAGTCATGCTGGGACTGAGGATAGAGGATGGAAACCAGGCAAGGGATAAGCAGAAATAGAGTTTTGGGAGACTGTATCTTCCTATTTCGTAACCCATGGCATATATGAAAACATTTTATAAATGGTAAAGTACTGCTGTCATGTGGAAAAACAGACCTAGCAATCGATTCTACTTTGAGTTATGGTAGGAGCCAGGATGAGGTGTGCATGACGGGGTGGGGACACAGGAGACCCTGAAGAAGGATACCTCCTCTGGGTGGTGGAGAGAGTGTGTGTGGCAGCGTAGTTGTTAGGGAGGGCTTCCAAGAAGAGAAACTGTTTAATGAGCACTAGTAGTGACAGGAAAAAAGGGGCAGAGGGGGCAATTCAGACAAAAGAAGTGGCGTCAACAAGGGCACAGAGGCAATGAAGAGCATGGTATGAGGAGAGAGTCACCGCAGGTTTTCTTATCCTTGGCTTCTTGCCTGATTGTTCTTGTTTCCAGAGCTGCTTCTTGTTGCTTAGTGCTACTGAGTCGATTCCGATTGCTGAGGAGCCGCTGGTGGGTTTGAACTGCCTACCTTGGGGTTCACAGTCCATTGCTGATCCTATAGCCCCACACCAGGAGCTTAGTATCCAATATTAACCAGCAGGGATGAGGTGAGGAGGAGAGAGAGTTCTCTGAGCCAAGGCACTATCCCTTGGCTTTTCACTCCCCTTAGGCAGCTGGTGAATGCTGGCGTCTTCACTGTTCGTGATGCTGGGAGCTGGTGGCTTGCCGTGCCTGGAGCTGGGAAATTCATCAAGTATTTTGTTAAAGGTAGCCCGAGGGTGCACCTTAACCTTTCAAGAACACGTTTGGTGGCTCCTTAACATTCTAGGCTCTATTCATCTCTTTTCCTCTCTTGTGCCACCAGGGCGCCAGGCTGTTCTGGGCATGATCCGGAAGGCCAAGTACCGAGAGCTTCTCCTGTCTGAGCTCCTGGGCCGGCGGGCACCTGCTGCTGTACGACTTGGCCTCTCCTATCATGTGCACGACCTCATTGGGGCCCAGCTGGTGGATTGGTGAGTCTTGCCCCTAGGTCCCTGGTCAGATGATACAGCAGTAATCCCAACATTGGATTTTCCCCTACTTACGCTGAACCCACTGTACAAGCCCAGGAACCTTCCCTGCCAGACTCTTAAGTTCTCTAAGCTTGGACCGGGACACCTGACTCCAGCTCTGTCTTTCCTTTGAATAGTATCTCCACCACTTCTGGAACCCTCCTTCGTCTGCCAGAGACCTGAGAATTCTGCTCATCATTGTACACCTCCTCACAGTGGGCAAGAGGACCCAGGATTGCCACCCATGGTGGCTGAGACAGGGTCACCTTGGGAAGACTCAGGAGCTGGATGAGGCTCCTGTCTGCACAAAGGATCAGACGTGATCACTGCTGTTTACATGGGATTGAACCCGCTGGTGGGGTTTGGATGCTTTTCTGTCCTTCCGTGGAAGTGAAGTCAGGAACTCTGCCTAGACTGGCTGCTGCTTGTCTTGTAAACAAAGTGCCGATGTTCCTCTTTCCTGAAATCCTGAGGTGGGATTTCTGGGGAGACCGGTGAAGGAGGGCAGGCTTCTCTCCTCACATTGGTGTTGAAACTGCCAAATAAAGTACTTCTGCCTGTGACGTTCCTGGATTCCTTTTATTTGATATCAGTATCTGTATTTGGGGCCTCATTTGAGGACAGAGGTAAAGCAAAGTTTAGGCGGGGGCTTTGCCTGATTGTTCAGAGAGGAGAAGGGTTAACTTGGACGTTCAGGGTGACTCTCCCTGGGGTACAGTGAGAGTCTGCGTGATCTTCTCAACCACAGAATTTCTGTTAGGACCTCCAACAAGCAAAGACCTAGCTCAGTTTTTGTGGGGGTAAAATCAAGAGACAAGTGTCTAGCCCACTGTTTTGTTAGACCCTTACTGTCTTGCTCCACTTGAGCCATGTATGTACTGTATGTACACGTAGACATATACCAAGTTTTGGGGAAATGTTCAGGTGATGGGACAAGAGGGGTTAACAGGGAAGAGCAGGCTCTGTTTCTGGGCCAAAATTCCCCAAGAGACCCAGGAGTCCAGGCTGCCTCCCCATCCTCCTCCCCAATACTAGGCATGGGTCCAGTTGCATTTCTTGGTGGTCATGTGGTTTCCCAGCTTTGTTGAACCAAGGGAGGAGCAAGGTCCAGAATCAACAGCCCCAAACCACAGATTGACCAGAAGGACACAGAGGGAAGGACAGATCTGACCCTTTGTGGATCCTCCAGCCATGAAGCTCCTCTGGGGGCTGATGTGGGCCTCCAGCTTCTTCGCCTTGTCAATACAAGAGCCTAGGTCCTGCATGGGAAGGCAGGGCTGGCAATGGGCTATGGTCTGAGGGACAGGATTGAGGAGTCCTGTTGCTGACCTCCCCTGTTCTCTCCAGGTTGCTCCTGTTTTCCCCTTCTGTGGTTCACCTGGGGGTCCCTCTGTCGGTGGGGGTGAAGCTTCATGATTTCCCCCCAGGCCAGGAAGTGAAAGGATCAGTGTATCTGAGAAATCCAGGTAACTTAAACATCCCCTGCTCCCCAAAGGTGGACTTCACCCTCAGCTCAGAAATAGACTTCATACTCCTCAGCCTCCAGGTAAGTGGACCCCCCTGCCCCCACTTCCCTTGCCCCTTCCCCCCTACCCTCTGCTTCCCCCTCCCTACATTACTTCCCTCTTTGTATAAAAGTCTGTGTCTTTCTTCATTGACCTTCCTCCCCTCCTCTCCTCCCACTCCAACTTGTCTTCGAAGTCTTGGTCTCAATATTTCTTCTTGTCCTCTTCTCCCTGTCCTGACAGATCTCTGTGGAAAATGCCCAGACCTGTGGCCTTTATCGCCTCCGCAGGGGACCTCAGGTGCAACTGGTGGCCCAGTCATCATGGCTGAAGAACTCTAACCCCAAAACTACAGACATTCAGGGTGTCAACCTGCTCTTCTCTTCTCGCCGGGGCTACCTCTTTCTGCAGACTGACCAGCCTGTTTATAATCCTGGTCAGCAGGGTGAGTTGTGACCTCAGTGTCTCTCCTAGCCTACTCAGGACACTGGTGGTGCCCACCACACAAGAGGGTATTTAGCAAACATGTGCTTCCTTCCGTCTCACTCCAAGAAGGGGATAATCAGGACCCACCCTCCTTTGCACCTGTCCCATCTCATCTCTTGCCCCCATTCCTCAGTCCGGTACCGGGTGTTTGCACTGGATCAAAAGATGCGCCCGTCCACTGACACCCTCATTGTCACTGTGGAGGTGAGTTCCTGACCTCTGACAACTTGATCCAACCCCCAGCCTTCCACTCCTTCCTTACCACTTCTTCCCCTGCAGAATTCTCAGGGCCTCCGTGTGCGTAAGAGGGAGATCTTCTCTCCCACATCCATCTTCCAGGATATCTTTGTGATCCCAGACATCTCAGAGTGAGCACTCCCCAACCTGGGGCTTCCCCCCACCATATCACCTAATTCACGCTTCCTACCACCTATTTCCTCCAACAACACACTCAAAGACAATCCTGCGTTCCTAAACTCCTGGTTTATCCCACAGTCCTTTCCCCAAAGGTTTACCTTTGCTGCTTGGCCCAGGAAGGCTGAGTCTATGTCTGTCTTCAGGCCAGGGACTTGGAAGGTCTCAGCCCAATTCTCAGATGCCCCAGAATCCAACAGCAGTACCCAGTTTGAAGTGAAGAAATATGGTGAGAGTTGAAAACACAAGGATCAGGCCACTTCTTTCCTGAGGCACATGAGAGGTGGGAGGGGAGAGGGTGTGGAGGCTGAGGAGATCCAGGGAGATGTGGGTTCCACATCCTGGAAGGGTCAGGAGTCTTTGAAGGGACTGTTCATGAGAGTTTGACCTGCTTCCCCTTTCTTCCTTGGTCAGTTCTTCCCAACTTTGAGGTGAAGATCATCCCTGTAAAACCCTACATCCTGATAGCACCTGGCTTTTTTGGTGAAGTCCAGTTAGACATCCAAGCCAGGTAACGCCCTCCACACCATGCATCCCTGCCCAGCACTTCCTACTCAGTGTGAGCATGCTGGGGGTACTCTGCTGCCCCCGACCTACCTCTCCCTCCTTTCCTGTCCATTTCATTATGTCCTCCAGCCCTCCAACCCTCTGCCCATCTCTCTCCCATTCTCCCCATGGTCTCAGGTACATCTATGGGAAGCCAGTGCAGGGGGTGGCATATGTGCGATTTGGGATCCTAAATGAGGATGGTGAGAAGAAGTTCCTTCGGGGACTGGAAAATCAGACCAAGGTAGGAGACGGTGTGTGAGAAGTGAGGGGTCGAGGAAGGAAAAGGGGATGAGTTCGGAGAATCTAGTCTCACTCCGTGTTGTGTTTCCACTCTGTCCCAGCTGATCAATGGCCAGAGTCACATTTCCCTCTCAGAAGCTGAGGTCCAGGGGGCCCTAGCGAAGCTTAATATTAATATCTCTGACCTCCCCGGGCTGCGCCTCTATGTTGCAGCAGCCATCATCGAATCTCCAGGTGAGTGGCTTCCCCTTACCATAACCCAGACCATGCCTCTGACCCGTGGGCTGACCTGTGTTCCCGTGTCAATACACCCTACACTCCCGCCATCTTCTGCTTGGACCCAGGACACTTTGTCTCACCCCAACTCTGTCTTTGGCTAACCCTGCCTCTTGCCCACCTCAGCGCTGATTGTGTTTTCCTCATTCATTTTTAAATTGATGGATTCAGCAGATGTGTGTTAGACACCGTTTGTGTGCTAAGGTCCATTGTTTGCATTGTTACAATCCCATGTGGCAGTAGAACATGCCCCCATTGGGTTTCCTATGCTAAAATCCTTGTGGGAGCAGATGGAACCGCTTGGTGGGTTTGAACTACCAGCCTTTCATTTTGTACTACCAGGGCTCCTGGAGGCCTGTGTTGGGCCTTGGAAAACATAAAGATAAATAGACTTGGCCGGTGTCCCTGAGGGCTTCACTGTCTCCATTCCTCACTCTCCTGTTCCTCTTTCCCCGGGACTCTGCCCTCTACCTCTCTATCCCCATGTCTTGCAGGTGGGGAGCTGGAGGAGGCTGAGCTCACATCCTGGCGTTTTGTGTCATCTCCCTTCTCCTTGGATCTTAGCAACACCAAGCGCCATCTTGTGCCTGGAGCCCCCTTTTTGTTGCAGGTGTCTTGTGGAGGAGAAGGATGAGAGTGTGGGGTGGAGCAGGGAGCAATGTTAGAGGCCAGAGCATTGGGACTGAATAAGGAGGTCCCATTGCTCTCTGGTGCTTCCCTTCTCAGTGACCTCCCTTTGATCGGCCCTTCCCCATCCACACAGGCTCAGGTACGTGACATGTTGGGCTCCCCAGCTGCTGACACTCCTGTCAAAGTGTCTGCCAAGTTTTCTTCTGGGTCTGCTTTTGAAGCCCAGGACTTTGAACAGAAAACAGATGATAATGGTCAAGTCAACATTCACATCAACATCCCTCAGACCATCCAAGAATTGCAGCTCTTGGTGAGATTCTCTTACCCAGCTCTTCTCCATGGGAGAGGGTCGGGGAGGAAAGGAAGGCCAGCTGGGTTCCTGGGAATCCATGTCCCAGAGAGAGAGGAAGGCTTGCCCTGACCTCTACCTACCTAGCTCCTCTCTCCAGGTATCTGCAGGCTCCCCGTATCCAGATGTGGCCAGGCTCACTGTGATGGCTCCGTCCTCACAAAGCTCCAGCGGGTTTCTGTCTATTAATCGGCTCCAGCTTTGGCCCCCTCGCGTCGGGGACACTTTCAACCTGAACCTGCGAGCTGAGGGCATCAGCGGGGCCACCTTCTCTCATTACTACTACATGGTGTGCATGGGTCGGTGGGAGGAGCACTGGGCTGCAGGGAGGGTCTCTGACAGGAAGGAGCCTTTTCGGGGGGGGGAAAGAGGGTGCATTGCAGGGCTGGGGATGTGCAGTGAAGAGACCGTTTTTGACCCAGATCCTGTCCCGTGGTGAGATTGTGTCTGTTCACCGAGAGCCCAGGAGGACCGTGACCTCAGTCTCTGTGTATGTGGACCATCACCTGGCACCATCCTTCCACTTTGTGGCCTTCTACTACCACAGGAACGTCCTTGTTGCCAATTCCCTGCGCGTGGCTGTCCAGGCTGGAGCCTGTGAGGGCAAGGTAATGGGGAGTTGGGGTTCGTGTGCCAAGGAGGTGCGTGTTTCTTAGCGTCACTGTAACAGAAAAACCACAAGTGATGACTCTAAAACCCAGAAAAAAAATTTCTCACCTTCAGGAGGCTACACGTCTGAACTCAGGGCGCCAGCTCTGGGGGAAGGCTCTCTGTGTTCACTCTCGGGGAGAATCCTTGTTATAGCTTCTCTCCAACTAGGCCCTCTCCACGTGGCATCTGTCTGTCCCCTATTTGTGCTTGCTTGCCTCTGTGTCTATGTTGTTCCTTATAACTCAGAAGTGATTAGCTTTAGGATACACTCTACACTGACTGTTGTTGGTATGTGCCATTGAGTTGGTTCTGACTCATAATGACCCTGTATAGGGTTTCCAAGGAGTATCTGATGGATTTAAACTGCTGACCTTGTGGTTTGCAATACAACGCTTACATATAGCACCACACCAGGATGTCTCTAATTTACTTTGTTGTTAAGTGCTGTCGAGTCAGTTCCAACTCATAGCAACCTTGTATAGGGTTTCCAAGGAGTATCTGGTGGGTTTGAACTGCTGACTTTGTGGTTCACAGTCCAGTGCTGATCCTATAGTACCACACCAGGAGCCCTCTACACTGATATGTCCTCATTAACTATTCCCAAATGGGATTTTATCCATAGGTATAGGGTTTAGGATTCCAATTCATACTTTTGGGGATGGGGACAATGTAGTCCCTAATGGGGGATATAAGGGAAGGAAGTCAGGATGACAGTGTATTGGCATGGATGTACTTTGGGGTACACTGAGGATGCAGGGCACTGAAATCAGCTGTCCCCACTCTGCCTCCATCCCTTCTGCCAGCTGGAGCTGACTGTGGACGGTGCTAAGGAGTATCATCCTGGGGAGTCTATCAAGTTCCACCTGCGGACAGACTCCCCAGCCCTGGTGGCGCTGGGAGCTGTGGACACGGCCCTGTATGCTGTGGGCAGCAGGTCCCACAAACTCCTTAACATGGGCAAGGTGTGCCAAGATTCCTCCCCAGCCCCCACCCTGCAGTACCTCCTTCCCCCCACTACCCTGTGCTCCAAGTCTGAGCCAAGTCCCCAGACCCCTTCCAGTTCCCTCCGCCCACACCAGCCTCCAGCCTCCGCCACAGCTTCCCTTGGCCACTCAGCCCACTCTCCACATCCCTCTCATATTTGTTCCTATTCCACCCTCCCTCCCACCTCCTGATCCTCCCCTCTGGCCACACCTGTTGCCCCAACATTCCTGCCTCTCATGCCAGGTCTTCGAAGTTATGAACAGCTATGACTTGGGCTGCGGTCCAGGTGGTGGGGACACAGCCCTTCAGGTGTTTGAGACAGTGGGTCTGGCCTTTTCTGATGGAGTACAGATGACCTCACCCAGAAACAGTAAGGGCGGGGTGGGGGGGCACGGGAGTACCACAGGAAGGGCAGGGGCAGGAGAGCAGGGAGGCCAGGAGCAGACTGCACACCCTATGGCTTGACTGCAGCCCTGCTCTCTACCAGGTCTGAGCTGCCCCCAGGAGAAAACCCGGAAAAAGAGAAACGTGAACTTCCAAAAGGCCATTACTGAGAAACGTGAGTTGTGGGGGGAAAGTAAGCCTTCCCTACAGCCACAGGTCAGCTTGTCCGCCTCTTGGCCCCTCAGCTTTTCCTGAAGGCTGTTTGTTGTATCTGGGCCTAGCTATCCAGGCTCTGAGGTTGAGGGAGTGTGAGCAGATGGCTCCTTCCCCTGGCCCCTCTCAAATTCCTGCTCTCTCAGTGGTAAGCGCATGTGGATCCAGGGCTGGTAGGGCAAAAGGGGCAGCTCCTTCTCCCCTATGCTGACCCTCAACCTGGCCCTGCAGTGGGTCAGTATACTTCCCCAACAGCCCGGCGTTGCTGCCAGGATGGGCTGACCCGGCTGCCCATGTCACGCTCCTGTGAACAGCGAGCAGCCCGTGTGCCACAATCAGCCTGCAGGGAGCCCTTCCTGTCTTGCTGCCAGTTTGCTGAGAACCTACGCAAGAAGGCCCGAATTAGGGGCCAGGTGGGCCTTGCCCGAGGTGAGGGTCTAGGAAAGCTGGGGGAGAGGTAGGGGTGCCTGGGAGGGCAGGCGGTCGGTCCCCTCCTCATACCCGTCCCCTGGTCTGCCAGCCATGCAGGCACTGCAAGAGGAGGAACTGATAGAGGAAGATGACGTTCTTGTGCGCAGCTTCTTCCCGGAGAACTGGCTGTGGAGACTGGAGAAAGTGGAGCGCTCTAAGACGTGAGGGCGGTGGGGTGGTCGTCTCACCTCTGTGCTGGCCGTGTGTGGAGCCAGTCCTGAGTGTGACAGGTTTCTCCACCTTTCCCACCCCAGATTAATGCAGCTTCTCCCTGACTCTTTGACCACATGGGAGCTCCATGGCGTGAGCCTGTCCCAGAGCAAAGGTGAGCTCACCCCTGTCCCCAGGGTACCCTGTGGAGAAGCCCTTTGCTCTTAGTATAGGGGAGGAGGTGATCCAGAGAGCTGGGAAGTCTTTACCCAGCATCTAACTGGGCTGAGGGGCTAGAGTGCTGAGCCATTCCTGCCCCTCCCTTTGGGAACCTTAAACCTCTGAGCTCCATGTGTCCTGCTGCCAGGCCTGTGTGTGGCCACACCGGTCAGAGTACGAGTATTCCGAGATTTCCACCTGCACCTCCGCCTGCCCACTTCTGTCCGCCGCTTTGAGCAGCTCGAGTTGCGGCCTGTGCTTTACAACTACAAGGATACAGACCTGACTGTGAGGGCTGTGGGCACCTGAGCGAGCATAGGGGGCTGGCACGGTGGGAGCTTACCCTGGCTGGAGCTCTGGCCATCCTCCCACTTCTTCCTGCCCCCTAGGTGAGCGTCCACATAGCCCCAGTGGAGGGGCTGTGCCTGGCTGGGGGTGGAGGACTGGCTCAGCAGGTTCTGGTGCCTGCTGGCTCTGCCCGGCCTGTGGCCTTCTCCATGGTGCCCATGTCGGCTGCTGCTGTGTCCCTGAAGGTGGTGGCTCGAGGATCCCTCGATTTCCCTGTGGGGGATGCAGTGTCTAAGGTTCTGCAAATTGAAGTGAGTTGAGTACCCCTGACTCCAGATCCCCAAGCTCCAGATTAACCAACTTCCATGCTGACCAGGTCAAGGGCCTAACACCAATGGCAAAGTTTGACCTGTTCTGTCCCTGAAGTTAAAGTTCAAAGTCCTGAGGAGGTCTCCCTCAGAGGGGCTGGCTTGGAGTCCTGTGTAGTCTCTCACCCCTGTGTTTCCCTTGAGACAGAAGGAAGGCGCCATCTGCAGGGAGGAGATTGTCTATGCACTCAATCCCCTGGGTGAGAGCCTGCCCCCAGCTACCCCTCACTGATGGCAGTGTTCTAAGGGGGCTAGGAGGGCAGTGTGTAGGGACATCATGTCCGGCTGCCAACTTCCCTATCTCCCCAGACAATCGAGCCCGCACCTTGGAAATTCCTGGCAACTCTGATCCTAATATTATCCCTGATGGAGAGTTCAGCAGCATTGTCAGGGTCACAGGTAGGGGTGTCCTCCAGCCCCTTCCCAGGGTCTCCCTCCAATTCATGTGAAACCCGTTTGCTTCCTCAGTCCTCTGGCCCTGGGTCCCCAGACTTACTCTCTGGTCCTCACCCTTTCCTCCCTCTAGCCTCAGATCCACTGGAGACTTTGGGCTCTGGGGGGGCCTTGTCCCCAGGAGGCCTGACCTCCCTACTGCGGCTGCCTCAGGGCTGCGGTGAACAAACCATGATCTTCTTGGCTCCTACACTGGCCGCTTCCCGCTACCTGGATGAGACCGAGCAGTGGAACATGCTGCCCCCCGAGACCAAGGATCATGCTGTGGATCTGATCCAGAAAGGTTCTGGCTAGGGGGCTGGCAAGCAGGAGTTGGGGTCGGGAGGCCCAGGAGGCTGGAGAGCGGAAGAAAGGGACATGGGATGGGGATGGGGAGCATGTGCTGGGGTCTCAATTGCAGCAGAGTGGGTTTCACCTCTCCAGGCTATATGCGGATCCAGACGTTTCGGAAACCAAATGGTTCCTATGGGGCTTGGTTACACCGGGACAGCAGCACCTGGTAAGGCTAGTGGAGTGGTTCTGAGAAGGGCATGGGCTGGTGGGGACAGAACCAGGTCTGATGGGAGAACAGCTAAGTGCCTAGGGGAATGGAGACCAGTCCCTATCCCGACCATCCCTTCTCACCTCTAGGCTCACAGCCTTTGTGTTGAAGGTACTGAGTATGGCCCAGGAGCAGGTGGGTGGCTCACCTGACAATCTACAGCAGACGGCCGAGTGGCTACTGTCCCAGCAACAGCCTGACGGTTCCTTCCACGACGCATGTCCTGTGTTGCATAGGAACATGCAGGTACGAGGTGGGGAGGCGGGACTGAGGGGCTCTCAGGCCTTCTCCTCCTGGCTGACATCTTTCCTTCCCGAATTCCAGGGGGGCTTGGTAGGGGATGATGAGACTGTGGCACTCACAGCCTTTGTAGTCATCGCCCTGCATCATGGACTGGCCAACTTCCAGGACAGGAGTTCTGAGGAGTTCAAGCAGAGAATGGTAAGGACACTCTAAGGGCACCGGAACCTGCCCCCTTGCTGGCCTTCCCTCACACCCCCTTTCCCTCAGGAGCCCAGATGTTCAGCCCCCAGCCCAACTTCCTCTTTTTCTTCTAGGAAAACTCCATCTCAAGTGCAAATTCATTCTTGGGGAAGCAAGCGAGTGCTGGGCTTCTAGGGGCCCATGCGGCTGCCATCACAGCCTACACCCTGACGCTGTCCAGGGCCTCCCAGGACCTGCAGAATGTGGCCCACAATAACCTCATGGCCATGGTTCAGGAAACTGGTGGTAAGCAGTGAGTCTGGAGCTTGAGGGCCCTTGGGACCCTTGAATGTTCTCAAAGGAAGAGATTGAATGAAGAGTCTGAGAAGGAATTCAAAGCAGAGGCAAGGAAAACAGGGTAAAACCTGGAGAGCCTGCAGGTGACAGGGTGCTCTCAGCTGCCCCCCCATCCACCTGTGGTCTCCCTTCACTGCAGATAACCTGTATTGGGGCACAGTTGCCGGGTCTCAGAACAATATCGTGTTGCCCACCCCTGTTCCCCGCAAATCGTCAGACCCTGTGCCTCAGGCCCCCGCCGTGTGGATTGAAACCACGGCCTACGGCCTGATGCACCTGCTACTTCGAGAGGGCAAGGCTGAGATGGCCGACCAGGTTGCAGCCTGGCTTACCCACCAGGGCAGCTTTCAGGGGGGATTCCGCAGCACCCAGGTAGGGTAGGAACTGCCCCAGGGCTTGGGGGTGGTCCAGAGACCTACCACTGAGCCCTGACCCCCACCCCAGGACACAGTCATCGCCTTGGAGGCCCTGTCTAAATATTGGATCGCCTCCCACACCACTGAGGAGAAGGAGCTCAGTGTGACCCTCAGCTCCACCGGCCGCAGTGGCTTTAAGTCTCATGTGCTCCAGCTGAACAACCATGAAGTCCAGGGCCTGGAGGAGAAGCTGCAGGTGACCTACTCCCTCTCCTGGGGTGCAACCACATCTGGGCCTGTGGCAGCCAGCCAGAAGCCACCCCTACCCTCCTACCCTTTGGGCTCCCCATAGCCCCTCTTCTTCTTGAGATCCTTGCAGGGGCGGGAGGAGACTGGACTGTCATGGGATCTTGAGAGAGTTACTTAACCCTTGAGCTTCATTTCTCTCAGCTTCAAAACAGAATCTTTAGGGTTTGTCCAGCTGAGTTTTAGGGAGCTGAGATATGGTCAAGCACATGAGGTGGAAACTATTTGAAATATGATGTGGGGAGAGAAGGAGGCTCGTTTTAGGGAGGAGGTAAGTTGGGGCAACGAACAAGTATTTTCTGGATCCTCTGACATCTCTTTCCCTTTTCTGTTTCTAAAAGTTTTCCTTGGGCAGCAAAATTAATGTGCAGGTGGAAGGAAACAGCAAAGGCACCTTGAAGGTGAGAGCTGCAGCAGTGGACACCTGGGCCCAGAAAGGAGGGCGTCAGGCAGGGGCAGGGTGGGGCGAGAGGAGGTCTTGAGGGCCACTGTGCTCAGAGCTCAGTGGTGGGGAAGGAGCAGCACACTCAGGGTTGGCATTGCCCATGCTTCTGGACAGTTGTCATGGCTCTCATGCCCAGACCCTCCTGAAGCCACAGACCCCACCTGTGCCACAGCTCCTCAGAGAGCGAGTCGCCAACTTCTTCTTCCATGTCCCCTCCTCTGGCTAATAGGAGCCCTTCTGGAGGTCACCTTATTGTCTCCCTCTTCTGAGCCCTTCTTTTTTGTCCTGGGCACTCCTCCTCAGCCCCCTTGCTGCCCGTGGCCCTGCCACTGTGTACTAAGGTGATCTCGTAACTTCTCTCTGCCCCCAGTATTACCCACTCTGATCCATTTCTCACCACAGCAAGACTGAAAACCCAAGTCAGATTAGCCTTAGAGCCAAGTCAGACCCTTTGAAAGGCTCACATGATTAGGACCCTGGCTGCCTCCCGGCCCGCCCCGCCACCCACCCCACTTTTCAGCACAGACTCCGCCTTGAACGTTCTCCCACTGCTTCTTGCCCCAGGAGCTCAGCAACTCCTCACCCTGCAAGGTTGCCCTGGGTGCCCATGCGTTTTCATCTCTCTGCCCCTCTGTCTTACCCAGTACGGTGCTGCCTTTGATGCCTGCCCCTGGTTGTGGACTGTTTGGTGAAGGGGACCGAAAGGGTGTGGGGGCCCAAACTCTTTCAGCTCAGGCAGATGCCTTTAGCTATGGCTTAGAGAAAAATATGTGGCACCAAATGTCCTGTAACTTCTCGCAATCCCCCTGCTGAGCTAGGTCCTTCGTACCTACAATGTCCTGGACATGAAGAACACCACCTGCCAGGATCTTCAGATTGAAGTCACGGTCATGGGCCATGTTGAGTACATGAGTGAGTGTTGGGCTTAGGATGCCTTGGGACTTGCAGGAGGTGGGCACCAGGGGCCAAGCACTGACCAAGGCTCTTCTTACCACACCATTCCCGGACAGTGGAGGCAAATGAGGACTACGAGGACTATGAGTATGATGAGCTTCCATCGAGGGATGACCCAGACGTCCATTCGCAGCCTGTGACGCCCCTGCAGCTGTTTGAGGGACGGAGGAACCGTCGCAGGAGGGAGGCCCCCAAGGTGGAGGAGGAGCAGGAGTCCCGAGTACAGTACACCGTGTGTATCTGGTGAGTGCTGGGGCTGGCTGCTGGGCCAGATGAGGGCGGGTAGGGCCAGGCAGCAGGCAGAACCCAGACAGCCGGTCCCATCTGTAGGCGGAACAGCAAGACGGGACTCTTTGGGATGGCTATCGCAGACATCACCCTACTGAGTGGATTCCATGCCCTGCGGGCTGACCTGGAGAAGGTATGGTCAGTGACCCAGCGGGGACTTCTGTCCTCACTCCCATAGCAGCACCCCCCACCACCACCATCTCCCTCTTCTCACAGCTAACCTCCCTCTCTGACCGTTATGTGAGTCACTTTGAGACCGAAGGGCCCCACATCCTGCTCTATTTCGACTCGGTGAGTGGGGAGAGGTGAACCAAGGGCTCATGTTTACTGAGCAGATGTTAGGAGGTTTCTTGGGAAACTGAGGTATATTCATTCAGTGCTTTTGAGGGCTTGTGATATAAACAGACAGGACAAGAGTGTAAGTCAGCAGTGGACAGTGAGAACCAGACCAGAGGTAGAGGCTGGGACCCCTGACATAGATGGGAGGCCCAGGCCTGTCAGGGAAGAAGGGAAAATTGGAGCTTTCGAGTGAGTCTTCCACAAGGCTGACTTTATTCCACTTTAGGGGTTCCTGAGAGGTGCAAAGTTTTTTGTTTTCTCTTGACTACTACTAACCTCAAGGTTGATGGTTCTAATCCACCTAGCAGCTCCACAGAAGAAAAACCTAATGCTCAGCTTCCATAAAGATTACAGCCAAGAAAACCCCATGGAACAGTTCTACCCTGTAACACGTGGGGTCACCCTGAGTAAGAACTGGCTTCATGGCCTGATGACAACAGGTTTGGTTTGGTTTGGGATTTTGCTGAGATTATGACCTTTCTAGTTTTTTTTATTATTGTTCTGTGGCTGTTGTAATTTATTTTGTAAGCTTTTATGTTTTGTTTTGTTTTTTAAATTCATTCTTATTCTTCAGTAACACAAATGCATCAAACAACACCAAAAGGCTTCAAAGAAGGGTAGTGATACTTTGCTGTTTTTTGGTTTCTACATTAAAATGTATTTACTTTCATGAAGTGACAGTTGTCATAGATGACAGTTGTTTTCATCCTTTCACTACCTTAGTTGGCTAAACAAAGAACTGTACAACCATTTGATGACCTTTGAAAATTATTATGAGCCTTTACTCTAAGCCCTGGGAGCACGTGTGAGAAAGGCGTGATGACAGCATTAGCCAGGTGTCTGTGGGCCGGATGTGCAGAGAAGCCTGGCTGAGGGGGCAGGGCTGACACAGTGGGAAATGAGCAACCAGGCAGATTTCTGAGCAGAGGGCTGATGATGGGCTGTCCCGATGCAAGATGGGACCTGTGTGGGCATGTGGATGGGGTTTAGGAAAACGGACAGAGTGGGAGCAACTGGAGTTAGCTTATAGTAGACGGAGGAGGCCCAGTCATCTCAAAGTATCAGTGACAAGACAAGGTCATCGGGACCGGGAGCAGGTTTGGGAGTCAAGCTGTCAGTTTGGTGAGTATACAGTTCAGCCCAAATCTTAATGACAGGAGAGAGCTGAAAGTTCAGTTTGGGACTCATCAGCCCAGAAGGGTTCAGGGACAGCCAGGGATTGGTTGCGCCTCCCCACCCCACCCCCACCCCCGCAGGGAAAAGCAGAGGAAAGGAAGAGCCAGAGCAACCAGGGACCTCTGGAAGGGGAGAAGAGAATGTAAAAAAATGATTAGGTCAGAATCAAGGATGACTAGAGCTAAGAGAAGGGAGAATTTCATGGAGGAAGCTGTCCACGATGGAAAAAGTATCCCAGTTTGGGGATACTTTTTCCATCAGGACAGCTAAAAACTAGAAAAGGTCACTAGCTGGGCTTGAAGTCATCAGAGACCTTGGGAGCAGTCTTTGGAGTCCTGGGAACAGGATGGCAACAGCATGTGAAGGACACTGGAGATAAGGAACAGGAACCAAACAAGGAATTGGGGCCAAGAGAGGGGGGTCCTGACTTCTCCTCCCCATCCTGGGTCAGGTCCCCACCTCGAGGGAGTGTGTGGGCTTCGGAGCTGTGCAGGAAGTGGCCGTGGGACTGGTGCAGCCTGCTAGTGCCACCCTGTATGACTACTACAACCCTGGTGAGCACTGGGATGCCCTGGCCCACAGGGGTTTGGACAGTCAGGAAACATGGGCAGTGAAAGTGGAGGGGAGGGAAGCCCTGAGCCTCTAGAGGATCGGCACTGTGTCCTAACCTCCATTCTCTGCTTTTCTCCAGAGTACAGATGTTCTGTGTTTTATGGGGCACCAAGTAAGAGTAAACTCCTGTCCAAATTGTGCTCTGATGACGTCTGCCAATGTGCTGAGGGTGAGACCCTTGACTTGAGGGCAGAGGTGGGGACAGGGGATGATTGGGGCCTACTAACCTTTCAAATGGGGCCCTGATTTCAGGGAAGTGCCCTCGCCAGCGCCGCGCCCTGGAGCGGGGGCTACAAGAGGAAGACGGCTACAGGATGAAGTTTGCCTGCTACTATCCTCGAGTGGAGTATGGTAGGTCTACCCTTCTGACCCTGGCTGCTTGCCCTCAGGGACCAGCGCTTTGGTCCTGCCTGTTCATTATGGACTTTCACAGGCCCACATGCAACCTCTTAGCTCTGCCCCAGCCTCCAGCCTCAGGGGAACTCACCTTCCCTCCTTTCTGACCTCACCTAGGCTTTCAGGTGAAGGTTCTCCGAGAAGACAGCCGGGCTGCTTTCCGCCTCTTTGAGACTCAGATCATCCAAGTCCTGCACTTCAGTATGGAAGGCGTCATGGGCCCGGCGATGGGACTGGGGCTGGAGGGGAACTGAGGTCTAGGTTTGGGACCCAACTTCACAGTTCTCAAGAGAATCTGGCTCCCTGGAGTAGTGAAGAGCTGCATGAGTCTGAGCTCAAATCCCTCTGCCTCTCAGAACTCGGGCCTTGTTAATAACCAGGAGAGCAGTACCTCTCTCTGAGGGTGATGGGGAGGGTCCAGTGAGACCTTCACTTCCCCTTTGACATGTCTTGTGCACGTCATCTCCTCAGCCAAGGATACCAAGGCCACTGGTGGCCAGACCAGAAACTTTCTCGTCCGAACCTCTTGTCGCCTTCGCTTGGAGCCTGAGAAAGAATATTTGATCATGGGTCTAGATGGGGCCACCAATGACTTCAAGGGAGAGTAAGTCCCCTGGGCCCCTTGGTCTCTTGCTCTCCCCATGTCTTGTGACCTCCCTTGAGGAGAAGGGCCCCGGCACCTACGCCCTGCTGCCTTGGAAACTAGGTGCTCTGTGCGCTCCTCCCCAATTTTCTGACTCCCTCCTTTGTCCCCTGCAGCCCCCAATACCTGCTGGATTCAAACAGCTGGATTGAGGAGATGCCCTCTGAGCGCCTGTGCCGGAGCACCCGCCAGCGGGCAGCCTGTGTCCAGCTCACTGACTTCCTTAAGGAGTATGGCACCCAGGGATGCCAAGTGTGAGGCGGCTTCCCACCTCCCCAGAAGGAGCCTGCACTGGGAGAAGGGAAGCCTGAAAACACACAGTCCCGTGGACAGACCATAATAAAGGACTTTGTCAAGCTGTGTCTTTGGGACTGGGAATAGTCTTTTTGTTGCCCATTCTAGGTTCTGGGAAGTCCAGGCCAGGGTTTGCATCATCTTAGATTCTCAGAGTCTGTTGACTTTCATGGGTGTCTAGCTCTCCCTGAGTCCTCCCAGCTCTTTAAGGAGTTCAGTCCAACATAGGATAAGCAGAACTGTGACCCACAGCTCGTACCAAGGCTCTGAATCCATAGTCTAGGGTACTCCAGCACCCGTGTCTCCCATCTCAGGCTGGCCATGTGGGGAGCTAACACCTCAGCATGTTGGCCATAGGAACTACTGTCCAGTCATACACATTCCTCTGTCCTTGTGCAGTTGGCAGTTCTGATCTGTTGTGTTTAGTCAGGTCATAGTCAGTTTTAAGTCATTGAAACTTGATCCTGTTATCGGTGGCATTAGGTAACTTCCCCAGAATTGTGCAATCCTCTGACCTTGGTGAGTTTGCCAATACTTTAAGGAGACAGTTGTTCATTTGGAGTTAATGTCACCCCACACCACCTGCTTAGCCTCCCCTTCATTTGGTGACACCACTGGGATGTTTGTTCAGGGATGACCCAGAAACCTGTGGAAAGGAATGTATGAGAGGTCAACTTCAATGAAAACTGAGTTCAGCAACCTGCCATTCAATCATTCAAGAGAAATTTCTGGAACTCTCACTCCATCCCATTCCCTGTGCTGAATATCAGAGACATGGCTATGAACTCACTCACTCCACCACTGGGGGAGAGGGATCATCAAATGGGCATACCTAGTCCTCTGTGAACGGTGTGATGTAGGGGAGCCATGTGGTCCTGTGGGGTACACAGTAGGGGCATCTAACCCAGGTGAGAGGGAGAAGATCAGAAGAGGGGCCGGGAAGGATTTGTGAAGGAAGTAACATCCCAGTTGGGTTCTAAAAGCTGAGAAAAAGTTAGGCAAACAAAGTGGGCGTAGAAAAGTTAAGGCAGAAAAAGAAAAGGCAAAGGTCATAGGCCAGGACCTGGGCAAAGCACAATTGGAGCACTGCATATAGTTCATCATGTCTAGGATTTGGGTTTAGAGGTAGAGTGGAAGACATGAAGCTGGTGAAGGAAATGGAATCCAATTATAAAGGTTCGCTATGTGTCAGAATCAACTTGACGGCACTTAACAACAAGAACATTGTCGCTAAATGCTGTTGAGTCGGTTCCAACGCATAGAGACCCTGTATAGGGTTTCCTTGAAGCAGCTGGTGGGTTTGAACCTTGTGGACCTTGCGGTTAGCAGTCCAGTGCTTACCTTAAAGTACCTCATCAGGACTGCATCCACAAATAGCAGGTATGCCTCCACAAATACTCCAGCTTTTGTAATTGAGCCCCTCCTGTTCCATGTAGCTTTGAGAAGTTCAAACCATCCCCAGTGTTCAGAGGCTTCCTGGGCTGTTGCTTACATGGCCCAGTGGTTGCCTATCAGAGCTCTCTCCTAAAAGCCAGTCACCATGATAGTGGTAGAACCCTGTTGACCAGCCCTGGGGATTTGTCTGCCATTGTGGCCAGACATGGCCTGGGTCTAAAAGGTCAACTATGAGGAAGGAGGCTGCTGCCCAGTCCCAGAAAGCTCACCCCTTTTTTTCCTCCCCAGGCCTGTATCCAAGCTGAGCCTCAGCCTCTTCTGCAAGGCCTCCATCAGTGAAGCAGTCAAGCTAGCAGGTCGCCCAGCCTGTGTCTTCACTGACTGGCAACACCACTTGTGGGTGCTCTGGGTAAAGCTCCAAGAGGAGGAGGGTCTCCTACCCTAGACACTGGGTTCAGTCAGAGCTGATGATGGCATGATTAGAGGCCTGGGTATCAGGTTACCAACAAATCTTCAAGTACCCCTCAGAGACCTGCCATCCTTATTTGGCATGACATCACCCCAAGAGCCTCCTCTAAATCCTCCAACTACCTCCTCATCTACAAAGTCCCTGATAGGAGAGAATCACTTGTCCAGTGAGACCTCATCCTTATGGCTACAGCTCTCAGAACCAGAGGACCCCTGGACCTAGCTGTGGTCATCGAGTTTTTTGAGGGGCTTTGGAATTGATGGACTTGCTCAGTCATGCCTCAGACTCAAGTTATCCCTGAGGCTGGGTCTGTACCCTGTGAGCTCAGACCCTAAAGGCATGGATGGGATGAGAGTAGAGATAAGGGAAGGGGAAGAAAGTGTTGGGGAGGGGGAGAGACAGGGGAGATAAAGACAAGAGAAAGTAAATTTCTCTGTCCTTAGTTTTTCAGTCCTTCGTCATGTTACTGGGAGTGTCAAACAAACCTCTATCCTTCAAGAGAGGGATGTTGCCTTCTACTGATGAAGAATAGTCAGGAAGACCGGAAGAGCTTAACACAACACTTAACCCAGCGCCCCACCCCTAATAAAGACTTTCTTGGGGTTTATAAAATTTTGGTTATGGAAAAGGCATCATGTTTATTCCTAGAGATAGGTGGAGCTTTCCAGGAAATGGCCAATTTTGGAGGGACCATGTTAATTGGGTGCATGTGCAGCATTTTTTCAAAATGGATTCACCACTGGTAGGAGCAGACAATACTTATTATGGGATGTTGCACATACGTGGTTCTTCAATACTCCAGTTCCAGCTGGCTTTCTCCTCTGCCACTAAGGAAAGGTCATCCTTCAAAGTGGGTAAAGCCAGCTACACTGTACACTGAGTAAAATATATAAATCTTATGATTTATAGTAAACAGACTGTAAAATAGGTAAGTTCTTGGGATTAATGCTTTCATCCTCCAAGAGGACCCCTAGGCTCCTTGTCTCAGGAAGACTTAGAGATGTTGGGGGTTGGGTCACATGAAGGCCTCAACTGGGCCTATCATAACTGTTCAGGAGGCTTCTGGGAGGGGTAGTTATGAGGTTATAGTTCTGAGAAATCATCCACTACTGAGAATCCACTCAATGAACATTTACTGAGCACCTACTGTATATGTCCCGGGCACTGAACCAGGCACTGGAGGTACAGTACAAACCAAATAAGCCTGTCCTTGAGACACAGTTACTTTCCTAGTAACTCTTTCCAACAGGCCCCCTAGGCTCCCTGCTTTAATTATTCTTGACCTTCCAAGGCCAACAATGTCCCCTCCCCTGTTTTTCTGTTCTTAGATTCTTTTAGATAGCCTTGTATCCATAAAACAATTCTGGATTTTGGCTCAAGCCATTTCAAGTTGGTCTCTTTTCTTTGCAACCAAAGAGAGGTGCTCCTTCTGCTTAAGGGTACAACTATTACACTTTTTAGCTGTGTGCTCGTGGGCAAGCACTCATGATAGGATTGGCCCCAGTCTAGTCGTGAGGGTTGAGTTAACATAAATAAAGTACAGTTTCGGGTATGTGGTAAGGGCTCCAAATCAGGACCTTATCGTTCCCCATCTCCTCCTGGACATGATGAGAGTCAAAGGGCGCACTATTAAAGAACGACACGGGCATACACTGGATGCCCCAGGCAAACCAAGACACATGGTCACCCTAGTACTTTTTTAAACACAAACACACAAATCACTCATTTCATTTTGTTCATCAGGTGATGCTGATGAAATGGTAGACTGCCTGCCTCTCTTAAAACAAGACTTCACAGCCACAAGCTTGTCCAAGGCAGATGGTGCAGGGAGAGGGCCCAGGCTTCAGGGTGAATGCACAACCTGTGTGGTTGACGTCAAACCAGAAGTGGATATTCCTGTAGGAGGAACAAGGTCAAGGCTGAGTTTTCTCTTCTTTCTTCTGATGGATGGTGAGGTCTTTGAAGTGAGACTCCCAAGGCCAAGAGGAAATGGTGTTATTTCAGGAATGTGTCACTCTGTGGGCAGGGCAGTAAGATGGGACTTCAGTTGGGGGAGCAAACTGGTTCCCCAAATAACCCAAGAAGCAGGTTGGCTAGCAGAGTGCTGTAAGTGGCTGCACACGGCTTCTGTATGGTTCTCCAGCCATGTTGTTTATCGGCCTGCTGCTGCTGCTACTACTGCCCCTGCTGGCCACCACCCGCCTGCTATGGAGCCTGTGGATGCTCAGGACCCTCCACCTCCCACCTCTTGTCCCAGGCTTCCTGCACCAGCTGCATCCCAACCTCCCCTTCTACCTACTTGGCCTGACTCAGAAATTCGGACCCATTTACAGGCTCCGCCTGGGGCTGCAAGGTAAATAAATGCCTTCTCCTTTCCCTGGGAGCTGGACGGTGGGGTCCTCTTCCTACTGACACCCAGCTCTATCTCTCCCCCAGAGGTGGTGGTGCTGAACTCCAAGAGGACCATTGAGGAGGCCATGGTCAAGAAGTGGGTGGACTTTGCCGGCAGACCTCAAATAACATCCTGTAAGGGGCAGGGGCATTTCTTGAAGGAAGAGATGGGGCTGGAGGAGGCAGAAAAGGGGAGCATCAAGTTCCTGGCTTCCTTGATCAGTACCTGCCCTTTCCCCGCTCACCTGCAGACAAGCTGGTGTCTCATGACAACCAGGACCTGTCAGTAGGAGACTACTCCCCGCTCTGGAAGGCCCAAAAGAAGCTCACTCGCTCTGCCCTGCTGCTGGGCATCCGCAGCTCTATGGAGCCTGTTGTGCAGCAGGTGACCCAGGAGTTCTGTGAGGTGAGTCTGGCCTCTGCAGCCCCGTCATCAGCCTCACCTCTCCCAGCAGCACCCAGTCTGCCTAGCTCATGTCCTTTCTCCACAGCGCATGAGAGCCCAGGCCGGCACCCTCATGACCATTCATAAAGAATTCTCCTTGCTCACCTGCACCATCATCTGCTACCTCACCTTTGGAGACAAGGTCCAGGCTCTGTTGCCTTCCCCTACCTCAAGCCCACCCCTAACCCTTCCTTGACCCCTTCTTGGGTCTGAATAGAAAGGGTTCCCTCCTTTTCGGACAGGAGGACTCCCTGGTGCATGCTTTTCACGACTGCATCGAGGACTTGTTAAGCACCTGGGATCACTGGTCCATCCACATTTTGGACATTCTGCCTTTTCTCAGGGTGAGGCCCAAACACCCTAGATCCTGGCATGGGTATGATGGGTGAGGGAGCAAGCTTCCATCCCAATAACTCCACATTCTTGCTTCCTGTCCCAGTTCTTCCCCAACCCAGGTCTGTGGAGGCTGAAGCGGGTCATAGAGAAGAGGGACCACATGGTGAAGGAACAGCTGAAGATCCACAAGGTAGGAAATGCACTGCGGGCTCCTTCACAGGAACTCTACAGGGATGCTACTTCCCAGGGATAGGCAGACGCTCGCTCAGGAAGCCTCCCAGGCCTGGACCAGCTGCCCCCTTCAGCCCTTCCTGCCCACTTCCTCCTCTTCCCAGGAGACCCTAGTGACAGGCCAGTGCAGGGACATGACAGACTACATGCTGCAAGGGATGAAGAAGCAGATGGTGCAAGAGGGAGACATGGGGCCGCTACTTGAAGGCCACGTGCACATGGCTATGGTTGACCTATTCATTGGTGGCACAGAGACCACAGCAACCACCCTCTCCTGGACAGTGCTGTTCCTGCTTCATCACCCTGAGGTGCGATCAGGCTCCTAGCAGCCCTGAGAGGGCTAGGAGGGACCCAGTTTGCTCTGCTTCCAGCATCACCGCCCCCAGCCAACCCCCAGCTGCGTTCGTCCAGAGGGGACTCCTTCACCTAGCCCGCTTGGGTTGCTGGGGCATGCCTGGCAGGGATGGAAACAGCTCAGACATCCGATGCCAGGCTTGTCCCACTTTACAGATTCAGCAGCGACTGCAGGAGGAACTGGACCGCGAGTTGGGCCCCCTTGCCTCGGACTTCTGCGTGCAGTATAAGGATCGCGTGCGGCTGCCTTTGCTCAATGCCACCATCGCTGAGGTGCTGCGCCTACGGTCCTCTGTGCCCCTGGCCTTGCCTCACCGCACCACGCGGCCCAGCAGGTGGCTTTAGAGAGGTAGGGATCTCTGGGGAAAGCCCCAGCGGGCTCCTGGCCAGCCTCTAACTGACTTTCCCCACCCCCGCCAGCATCCTGGGCTACGATATCCCAGAGGGCATGGTCGTCATCCCCAACCTCCTAGGCGCCCACTTCGATGAGACCGTCTGGGAGCGGCCTCAAGAGTTCCGGCCTGGTAGGTAGTGGCGGCAGATTGAGCCCGCTGTGCGGGTGGGGGTGGGCTGGGCGGCCTTGACTTCCATCTGTCACCTGCTTGCAGAGCGCTTCCTGGAGTCAGGCACAGGACCCAGGGAGCTGGCCTTTGGCTGCGGCGCACGCGTGTGCCTTGGCGAGCCGCTGGCACGCCTGGAACTCTTCGTGGTGCTGACGCAGCTGCTCCGGGCCTTCACGCTGCTGCCGCCCGCCGGCGCCCTGCCCTCGCTGCAGCCCCAGCTTCAATATGGCATCTCCCTCCAGATGCCGCATTTCCAGGTGCGGCTGCAGCCCCGGGGCGCGAGTGCTCCAGACCCGGGAGAGAACCAATGACACCAGCCGCGCCTCAGTTTCTCTTTTTATTGCTCCCATGCAAACCCCTTCCCTCCCCCCTGTAAACATAGTGCTGTGGGATCGCGCGTGGAGAAGGCGTCCCCGGTGGCTGGATGGTGAACGCGGCCCCTGGCTCTTCTCTGAGTGCGACCCCTCAGTGCTCGGCAGTCGTGCTGGGACCGAGAGAGGCGGGCAGCAGTTCAGCCTCCCTAGGCTGGGGGCCGGTAGCTTCTTGGCCTCAGCTTCATTTCCGTGAAGGGCACTGAGAAATCAAAGCCTTTCCAGTGGTACCAGCTTATTCCCTGAGAAGGGGGTGTGGAAAGACAGTCAAAGTCAGGTGTCCCACCTGGGGGGAGTGCGTTCTCATTAATCAATCAGCCCTTGCCCCTCCCTGCTTCTTCAACTGCAGAGGATTGAGGCTTAATCCTGAGCTGGTCCTTGGCATCCAATAAATCATCTCCTTACAATAACTAACGAAGTCGATATTATAATGCCATTTCACAGGCGGGGGCCCTGAGGCCCCCAGTGGCTCATTAACTCTCAGTAACTTGGAAACCCAGTCATTCTGTCAGGTTCAAACCCTGGCAGGCTGAACTCACACTGCCTCCCTGGGCCCCTCACCTGGTGGTCCACTGTGTTTCCGTAGAGCCCATTGAGGTTGGCATAGTGACAGTTCTTGTACCACCATGCCCCGCGGTAGGAGAGAGCACAGGAGATAAGCAAGTTGTTGGGATCTCGATCACGGGCGGAAAAGACACTGCCGCTGTGGTAGCTCATAGAGTCCCCTGAGTGGGGAGAGGAAGGAGCAGTGAGGGCTTTCCGTCTGGGTCCCCCTTCACCACCCCACTCCACGGTCGCCCCTCCCTCACCTGCGGTGCCGTGGTAACCCTCCAAGTGGAGACGGTAGAACTCAGCAGCCGAATCTACTCGGAAGGATTCATACTGGGCAAACACGGCCTCGTCCCCAGCCTTCAGGTCCACACGCATTGAGTAGTCACCAGCTTGGGTCAGACTGTGCAAGGCCTCATTGCCTGGGGGGGTGGGGGGCGGGCAAGCCCTCATCAGGACCTGGGTGCCTATGAGATCCCCCCACTCTCACCTTGGTCCCCCAATTCCTGTGAGGCACTGACCCAGCCAGAACTCCCTAGAGATGTTCCCAAAGCCTTGGGCATAGTCCTCCCAGTCCCTCCAGAAGTCTGTTTGTCCATCCATGCGCCGCTGGAACACCTGGGAGGCAGATGGGGGCACCATCAGCCTCTGACTCCTGGGGCAGCAGCCTTGGACTTCCAATTACCTCAGACAAGAGGCCGAGCAGACTTCCAATGACCACCTACCAGCCAGCCGCCCCCATCTGTCTCCATGTCACAGAATACATCTAGAGGCCGCTCGCGGTTGCCGTTGAGAAAGATGGTGGTGGCCCTTGAGGGGCCGGCCCCATTCAGTATCTCCTCCCCACAGTCACGTGGGAAGGGGACTGGCAGTCCACCTGGGGGAAAAGAGAGAAGGGACAGTTCTCTTTTCAAGCTCCCTGACCTCTGCCTGCACCCCCCTAGCCCCACCACAGTCCCTAGCACCCGGTACCAGTGATGAACGTGGTGGACACAGGTGGCGAGAAACTCTGGCCCCACACGGCCCGGATGTGGGCATTGTAGGGGGTGGAGGGATAGAGGCGGCGGATCTGATGAGAGGTGACATTTCCAGGGAGCAGTATCTCCTGTGGGACAGACCTGGTGAGTCAGAGGAGGCCCCCCCCCACCCCCGGAAGAGGCAGAGACAGCCCCTCCTGGACTAAAGCTGAGGGAGGGGTGATCACCTGGGTCTGTCCACCAGGGGTGTCGAAGCTGAGCAGGTAGCTTGTGGGTAGGACTGGGGGTTCAGTCCAAGTGAGCAGGGCTGTACGAGGGGTCACCTTCTGGGCTGTCAAGTCCTGGGGGGGCTCCAGCCCTGGGAGAGAAAGTGGGGACTGAGACCCATCCGGCCTCCACACCTCTTTCTCCTGGCCTGCACTCCCCAAAGGCTGTACCTGTGGTAAAGGTGATGCTGGCCGGGGAAGTGAAGTTGGGGCCCCGAAGGCCACGCACAGTGGCCGTGTAGTTGGTGTGGAGTTTCAGGTCATGCAGGGGATAGTCCTCAGCGCTGCCTGGGGCTGAGCCCTGTACAGATGGGGCTGGAAGGGGGCAGGTATCAGCTGCTGCCCTCCAGACCCTGTCAAGTACAGCTGTTCTCCCCACCCTGGATGAGCCTCCCACTCCCAGCGACCTCTGTGCCCACTCACCCCCTGGAGCTGTAACCTGGACTTTGTATTTGTCCACTGGGGTCTGAGGGGGTGTCCAGTGCAGCAGGGCAGATCCCTCCGTCAAGTTTAGTGCATGAAGCTGGGTGGGGCCATCAGGAACTGGGAGAAGGGGAGGAGACTCAGAGCTAGCCCCTGCTTCTCCTGACACGACTCCAAACTCTGCTCCGTCTCTTGTCCGCAAGCTAAGGGGCCTTCAGTGCCTCTTGTCCTGTCCCCATTCCCTTTCAATTCCTACCCAGGCCTTCACTGGCTCCCCCTCCCTGCTCCTTCCCACACTCTTGAGGCCCTATATTCCTCTCACCTGTGGTAAGGAAGCCTGTGAGAGGCTCGCTCTCCTCAAAGCCTCGGACAGAAACTACAGTCACTTCGTAGCGAGCACCTGAGATGAGCCCCTGGAGTTTCTGGGTCTGGGTTCGGCCGTCTACCTGCACACTCTGTGGCTCCCCTGAAAGCACATTGTGGGTTGGGAGGCGACCCTAAGGAACCTGAGAGGAGCAGGAGGGAGACACAGGGCAGGGGGCCAGCAGAAACAAAAGCAAAAGAGTGTCACCTCCATCTGCTAGCTGGTAGGAGACTTTGAAGCTGTCCACTCTGGATGAAGGGGGTATCCAGCTGACCGTGGCTGAGGTCTCCTTAATGTCACTGAATTCAAGGTCACGAGGGCTCTCCAGAACTGGGGAGGGGTGGAGAGAAACGATGGTGAGGGTGTGGGTCAGGAAAGGCTGGGATTCCCTCCCTCCGTTTTCTCCCAGATGTGCCCTAGATATGTCTACCCCTATCCTTTAGACCTTAGAAATGGGAGTTGTTATAGCTCCCTCCAAGCCCTCCCACCAACTCCCACCCTCCTCCTGGGCTGAGGCACTGGGTCCCACCGTATTGCTGCTGTTACTTGCTATCAAGTTGATTCTGACTTGTGTCAACGCCATGGGTGCAGAGTAGAACTGCTCCATAGGGTTTTCAAGGCGATAATCTTCCACAAGCAGATCTTTCTAGGTGCCTCTTGTTATTAAATCTGTTCCAATCCATAGCAACCCCGTATAGGGTTTCCGAGGAGTGGCTGTGGGTTTGAACTGCTGATCTTGTGGTTAGCGGTTCAGTGCTTATCCTACAGTACCACATCAGGACTTCTGGGTGGGTTCAAATTTCCAACCTTTTGGCTAGTAGCTGAGTGTTTAACCATATGTATCAACTAAGGACTCCAGATCCCACCACACATACCACAAAGACCCCCTCTTTGGGCAGAGAGTGTATGTCTGTGTCTGGTGTGGGTCCTTGCCTGGGGTGAGGGTGCGGGCAGTGCCCTGGATGCTGTCGGTCTTGTGGGGCCCACGCAGCCCATACAGCGTGAGGTTGTACAGGGTCCCTGGCTGCAGGTCCCGGAGCACAGCTGAGCGTCGTGTCCCTGGCACCGTCAGCTCCTGCTGCAGCAGAGGGTGAGGCTCCAGAGTGCTGGGTGATGGGACCCCAAAGCGAAGCAGGAAGGAGTCAAAGCCCCCTAGAGGGGCCTCCCAGTTGAGCCGCAGGGAACTGGTGGTCACATCAGACACTGACAGCTGGGACAGGCGGGGCCCTGGCTCTCCTGGGAGCTGACTGGCAGGAGCCTGCCCTGCACAGAGGGGTGGGAGATAAGAGTTTAGAGACAGTCACACTGGCTCAGTGGTACTTCCACCCACCTACCCCTGGCCCTTAAGTCCTCATGTGTAAAACGGAGCTGAGTATAGACTTGTACCCACAGGAAGGAGCCAAGTGTTTCACCCAGAGCTGCTCAGATACAGCCCACCCCTCCATCCTCCATGGTATCCACCCTCCTCATGCTCTTTGGCCACAAGCACCACTTCTGGGCACCCCTTCACCCTTTCCAGGCACAGATTACAGGTGGGCGAGGCAAAGCAGCCAGCCATTGCCTGGTGGTACCTGTGGTGCCCTCAGTGGAGACGGGTCCCAGGCGCATCCCTTCCCGAAGGCCATAGAGGAAGAACGTGTAGGAGGTGCTGGGCTCCAGTCCCGACACCAGGACCTTGTGTTGGTTGTTGCTCACGAGCAAGACCTGGGGCTGCCCATCTGCATCTTCATACTGAACCACAAAGGAGTCAAAGGGGCCCTGGGCCACCGTCCATGACAGGTGCAGGGAATCTGAGGACACGTCGGTCACCTCCAACGTCCCCAGGCGGGGCTCTTCAGGAGGCTCGGGGGCCTCTGTGGTAGGGTGCCAGGGGGCTGGTGTGTCCTCTTCTGGTGCTGAATGGGAGAAGCCCAGGGGAGCAGTTGAGTGGGGTGCCAGGGATCCTCCCCTCTCCATCTCTACCCGACAAAAAGGAGGTTCCAGAGTTGGCTCAGTAAGGTGGGACTTTACAAATCCTGGACATGGCCGCCAGGTGGAGAGAAGGGAGGGACCAAGGCTCTTTCAGTACTTTCCTTTTTGAGTCCACTGAACCTCTGCTTTGACACTGCTCTCTGTCAGCTCTAAGGCTTCTCTGAGCCCCAGTGCGCTGGCCTGTCTCCTACTCAGGTGGTTGTGGGGGCCTGTTTACTCCTTTGTCTGGGCCTTAGCTCTATCTGAATCAGCTGCTGCTCTCCACTGTCCTATGAGTTCCACCTCTTGATGTTCGTGCTCATCACCCACACCAGCAGTAGCTTGGCCTCTCTGAGTTCCAGCCACATATAACTGCATTCTCAAACTGCTGGTGGCAGACTGGCTGAGAAGTAGCAGCCAGGTCAGCCTACACGACCTAGCCACCTAGCCAAGGAGCCTGCTCTGTAAACGCAGCCACATTAGCCCTGTCTCCTAGTGCTACAGGATCGCTCACTCCATGGCAATGGGGTCTGTGTGTGTGCCTCCCAGTAATTTTCCACTGAAGAAAATTCTCCAGACTTGACCATGGGAGAGGGATTTACCCCTCTCTGGGCAAGGCCACTCTGCTGGCAGGTTAACAGCTGCCCTGGACTGAGTTATGGAAGCAGCCAGCAATGTGGGCAGACAGCTGGGAACCACTGCGCGGACCTTTCCTTCCCCCTGTCCTGACTCCCGCCTTTGACCCCTGGATGAAAACCAGCACTGATGACTCCTCTGCCCGGCAGGGCTCCCTCTTCCCCATTGCCCACTTTGTCCATGCCTTCCTCTTCAGCCTAAGGGCACACGGAAACCTCCAGGCCCAAGAGAGACGGCCACCGGCTCACCTGTCATTCCCAAGGTGGTGACTGGGCCCAGGCGCTTTCCTCTCAGAAGCCCGTAGAGCAGGAACTTGTATTTCCTGTCTGGCTCCAGGCCTTCAACAGTGACCTCACGCTGGTCTCCAGCCACAGGCACCACCTGGGGTTGCCCGTCTGTGTCCCTATACTGGATCACGAAGGAGTCGAAGGAACCTTGGGCCACTGTCCACAAAAGGCGCAGGGAGTTTGATGTCTTGTCCGTCACTGTCAGCTCCTTGAGGCGGGGTGGGGGCTGCTCCTTCTTCAAGGGAACTGTAGGGAAAGGGGGTGGATGGAACTTAATCAGGAGTAGCCTTCACCTCAGCCTCAAGGAGATCCACCTGAGGCGACAGGGCTGCTCTTGTTAGGTTCTACGGGAATGAGGGCCAACAGCGAGGTCCCCTCCCTCACTCCTTCTCAGAGGTACAACACATACATAAAAGGTCATCGCATGAGGAGGTATGACTGGGAAGGCTGGGGAGCTATGGCCTCAGTTCTCAGGATGTCGCGCTACCCTGGCCCCCAACCCCCTGACCAGAGTACAGCCAGAGCTGAGAAAGATTCCCAGAATCGATCTGGGTTGCCAGGAAGACGGCCCCAAACAGTGAGGTAGTCAGTCAAGCTCATAGGCTCCAATCACCCGGAGCCATGGGCAACCTTTCTGTCTACTTCTAGCCCTGCCTGTACACCACAGAGCAGGGAAGAGACTTGCCCAAGTGGAGGGTGAGTGTTCACTGATGGGGGCCCCCATAGTGAGGGCTTGGGGAGAATGATGGCATTTGAGGGTCCCAGGCCCTGATTGGCCACATGTCCTATCCTTGTCTGACCAGGGTGACTCATGGTCCTAGGAGTGGGGTAAGGGTCAGTGACCTATGCCACCCCTACTGGGAATGGAGGTGGGGCTGAGTCATGGCACATAGACACTGGATTTTTCCATAGTCTTTCTGCAGCCAAGTCCTCCTGCATTTTCCACCTCTTGGCTCAGAGCTGGGTGGGAGGCAGGAGGATGTGAACATGTACGGAGCACCAATAGATATTCTTTGTAACCTGCATGCAGGTGAGGATACAAGGCTCAGGGGGGTGATGTGGCCTGTCTGTGGCCACAGAGCTGGCACACACAGCTGGCAAAGGCTGGAACTGCAATTTGAACACAGGTCTGCTTGGCGTCAAAAGCTGACTTCTTTTTACTACATCAGCAGTCAGTGTATACAGGAAATAATGCAATATAAAATGCTCTGGACAGTACCTGGCACACAGCAACCAAAACAATAAAAATAAAACCCAAGCTATTGAGTTGCCATTGAGTTGATTCTGACTCAAGGCCACCCCATGTGTTTCAGAATAGAATTGGGCTTCATGGTGTTTTCAATGGCTGTGACCTTTCAGACGTGGATAGGCAGGCTTTGCTTTCCCATTGTTTTTGGATGGATTGAAACCTCCAGTCTTTTGGTTAGTAGCCCAGCTTTTTACCATCTGTGCCACCCAGGGACTCATGGCACAAGTAGGAGCACTCAATGAGTATTTGGGGGCGTGAATTTTATGCTAAGACAGAACACAGGAGAATGGATTTTACAAGAGGGCTACGGGCCAGTTCTGGGAGGTTGGGCTGAGATGGGTTTGGAAAAGGTGGGAGGCAGTGTGGGTGCTCACCGGTGGCACCTTCAGCAGAGACAGGCCCCAGTCGCTTCCTGCCTGCCAGCCCGTAGAGCAGGAACTTGTACTTCCTGTTTGGCTCCAGGCCCTGGATGGTAACCTTTCGCTGGTCTGCCTCAACAGAGACTGCCTGCGGCTGCCCATCCTTGTCCTTGTACTGAACAACGAAGGAGTCAAACTCGCCCTCAGGGACCGTCCAGGAGAGACCCAGGGAGTCAGGGGTCACATCTGTCACTGTCAGCTCCCCCAGGCGGGGAGACGGTTTCGTGTCTGCAACTGGAAAGGAGAGTGGGGTGCATGGAGAATGGCAGAAATGATGGAAACAGGCATCCCAGTGGGTGCTGAGGCGCTGAGAGCTGGTCATCAGGAATGGGGATTTCTGTGAGCTGGGAGAAAGCAGGAAGGCAGAGGACAAGGATAAAACAGAAGCTAGTGAATACAGCAAGCTGGACCCAGAAAATGAACTCTCCTGAGCCAGTCATGAGGTTAGAGCGTGAACCACAGGAACATGAAATGCCAACAGTCACCACAAGGGGGCAAAGGACGGCCACAAAGCTACCATCCGCAGCCCTGACTCACGGGTTTTTGCTTCCACAGAGATTGGACCCCGCCGTTTCCCATCCTGGAGTCCGAAGAGGAGGAACTTATACTTTCGGGCTGATTCCAGGCCTAAGACAGTGATCTCCCGGAGCTCTCCACTTGTGGGCAGCACCTGGAGTTGCCCTTGGGCATCCTTGTACTGGACCAGGAAGGAGTCAAAGAGGCCCTGGGCCACTGTCCATGAGAGACTCACAGTGTCCAAGGTCACTGCTGACACGTCCAGCTCACCTAGGCGGGGCTCCACAGGAGGCTCTGTGGGCAGCGGGGCTGGAAGAAAGCAAGGAAGCTGAGGGCTTCACAGGCAGGCCATGGTGTTCTGGCTGTGAGATTACCATTTACTCAGTCAACTCTTCTAGAGAAATGACTCTGTGCCAGGCATTGTTGTAAGCATCTCCCACAGTGTGTGGAGCAAGTGCTGTTGTTATCATCTTATTAGAATCCCCATTTTGCTGGGGATGGGAGGCACAGAAAAGTTAAGAAATGGCCACATACAAAATCACGTAGTTTGGAGGCAGAATTCAGATGCAGGTTGTTTACTCTGGAGCCATGTTCTAAGGCATTCTGTTGCCCAGTCAGAAAGACACATCTCAACTGCTGAGCAAGTTTGAGGTCTCAGATCGTGAGCAGAAGAAGAAAATGAACATTCATGAGGCATAACTACATGCCCAACAGACTCTCCATTGACCTGCACACAACTCAAAGACTAAGGCAGGATCATTAGCACGATTTAGAAAAGGGAGGAAAATCAGTGTCCATTTGTGAGGAGAGCTGATAAACAAAAGAGAAAAAGAGCAAGAATAACAGAAAAGAGTGTGGGAATAGGACCTGGCCCTCACTCACCTGTTGTGCCCACTGCAGACATGGGGCCCACACGCTGCCCCTCGTGGAGACCATACAGGTGCATCTTGTACTTGCGCCCAGGCTCCAGGCCCTGCACGGTGACCTCACGTTCCTCATCCCCGACACGCACCACCTGGGGCCGCCCGTCTCTGTCCTTGTACTGCACGGTGAAGCCGTCAAAGTGGCCCTGGGGGACGGTCCAGGAGAGGCTCAGCGAGTCTGAGGTGGAGCCTGTCACTGTCAGCTCCCCCAGGAGTGGCTCCTCGGGGGTCTCTGGGGCCTCTGTGGTGGGCTCTGTGGGGGCGGGGGTCTCTTCCTCTGGAGCTGAGAAGGGAGACACATGGAGGGTGAGGAGATGCCCTGTGAGATGCCCTCTAGTCCTCAGAGATAAGCAGAGAAGCTGTGGCCACGACTGGAACCAGAGATCAGTTCAGAGAAGGCATTTTTCTGGGCTGGTGGCCTGGGCCCCAGGTCAGGGGTGGGGAACAGGTGGCTCACAACCACCCTTCTCTGCCCAGGAGGCCCAGTTGGATCTTAGGGAGCCACAGGCAGAAGACACAAAGGGTACCATGGCCACCATCACCAGAGAGAGGATGACTCTCCTGCTGTCCCCCCAGGGCCTTCACCTTCTACTCACCTGTCACCCCAATGGCAGAGACGGGGCCCACTCGCTGACCACTATGGAAGCCATACAGATTCATCTTGTACTTGTGGTCAGGCTCCAGGCCTGAGATGGTAACTTCCTCCTCATGTCCTGGAACCCGCACCACCTTGGGCTGCCCGTCCCCATTCCTGTACTGGACCAGGAAGTGGTCAAAGTGGCCCTCAGGGACCGTCCAGGACAGGCTCAGGGAGTCTGGGGTAGCATCGGTCACGGTCAGCTCTCCCAGGAGTGGCTTGAAGGAAGACTCAGGAGCAGCCGTGGGTGGGGCTGGGGTTGTCCCAACTTCATCCTCTGGAGAGGGACAGAGACAGAGGGGACAGGTGAGCTCTCCTCATTGCTCGTTTCAGCATGTGGAGGGTGAAGTACAAAAATAAGAAGATGAACTGTAAGAAAGATGCCTTCCATGATAGTTTTAACCCATTTCCTCTTTTCCAGCATCTTCACTCTCATTGTTCTACTCCCTGATCCCCATGTTCTGTGCCCTTATCATCATCCACTAACATCCTTGTGACCTGTCTTCAGTCCCAGCACCAGCTGCTATTCTAAGCCAAGCCTTGGTGGCCACCCACCAAGGGTTTTCCTTCACTGGGGTCTCCATGGCATTTTATTGTCCAATGCATCTTATCTCTGCTCACAAAGAAGCTTGGAACACCTACTGCCCAACCAGAAATCCAGTGTGTCCTGCACTTCTTGCTATCACAGGGACAGAATGTGTCTTGTTCTTCCTACCTTCCTCCTGGAACCCTTTCCTCCCCACCTCGCCACACTCTTCTGGTTTGGGCCACTGTGTTCTCTCACCTGGGTTACTGGCCCCCTACTGGTCTCCCTACTCTAGGCTTGTTCTTCCCTCTTGCCCCACCCATTCTTCACCAGACAGACAGAATGAAGTTTTTCAAAAATGTAAATTGATGGTGTGACACTATAGGATAAGCACTAGACTGATAGCCATGAGGTCAGCAGTTGAAATCCACTAGTCATTCCTTGAAAACCCTATACAGAGTCACTGTGAGTCAGAACCAACTTGATGTCCCTTAAATAACAACAATAACAAATACCATGGTGTTAATCTTTTGCTTAGAACTATGTAACCAACCTCTTCATTCCTAGAAGGAATTCCACGCTTCACGAGCTGTCCCCTCCCCTCCAGACACATCTCAAGGTGATTTTTCCACCTCAGAAGGTATCCTACACTGTGACCAAGTGTCAGTTGCTACCATTTGATGAACTGGATTTTTGCTTAGGGATGCAGTTGCTCAAAATTCCAACCATAATGGAAGGGTCTTCATATCTAGGAACATGCTTGTCTCCTCAGCGTATTGGGTTGATAGGGACTGGCAATTTAGACATTGGCTATCAAAAATGAGGGGTGGGTGGTATAAAGGCATGAAGTGGCTGGCTTACAAGCTTTCATGCATGTGCTTAGTTTCAGAATGAGTAGGGTAAGGTAGAATCCCCACTGAATAGTTTTCCTCTTTTCTAGATGGGTCTGGTGAAAGGGGCTAGGGGATGATGCTGATAGGATTTTATGATTCAATTGTGAGTAATTGTAGCAGGATTTATTGTGATTGTCACAACTAGAATTATAGATGATGTGTAACTAGAAGGGGGAAGAAGTTAAGCTTTCATTTCAAGAACAGACGATTCCAGGACCATCAAGAAGGAAGAGCATGAGTAGAGCATGAGAACCCTACCTAGAAAGTGGCGACAGCAGAGACAGAGGCAGAAGTGGCAGCATGGAGAGACAGAGCAGTTGTGGGCTCTAGGCCTGAGGACTGAGAAAGGTGGTGTGCTTGTGAGCAGGAGGTTGTCTGGCAGAATGTGCCCTTTGGGCATTTAAGTGAATATATATATATTTTGTATGTATGCATCATATATTTTTGCTTTGTTCATGTAAAAGGGAGGAAACAGGATAACTGTCGTTGCAGGGAGGGGATTGTAATCACTGAGATGGAACAAAGTGTATGATTTATTGAATGTAAAGCTGATAACCTTGTCCACAAGTAAACCTTTACTCAATTCACAATAAAAAGTTATTTAAAAACAAGAAGTAGAAGGTATCTTACAAGGCTCCTGGTCCCTCCATGTGCCATGCTGTTTCCAGGCTCTAGGTCTTTGCACGTGCTGTGACAATAGTCTGACCCTCTCTTCCTTCTAACCTTCTGTGGGTTCCCATGGGAAATCTTATCTTTGCTTGAACCCTGGGATTCCTATACCATGCTCCTCCTCCTTTGCAGTATTTGAGGGTTCACTGCCTGTCCTCATAACTAATATGCCCTATTAAGGCAGAAATTTATGTGTCTGTGTATCAAAGATGACCCCAGTGACCTCCCAAAGTGCCTGGCTCAGGGCTCACCCACTACATCAATACATCTGTGAAAACCCAACCCCTAAATTCCAGGTGTTACTGTCAAGATATGCTATAGCTGAACCTCTGCCCTCTCGAGTCCTGACCTGGCCGGCAATGGAGTAGCTGGACATGAGAAGGAATCATGAATGCCAGTTAAATAATTTTCAACAAATTCTAAGGCAGGTTCCACACTCCTTTGCTGTGAGGTCGCTCACTATTCAAAATGAGGCTCATGGGCCAGAAACAGCAGCATCACAGGAAACTCAAGCCTAAGTCTGCTGAATGGACACTGCCTTTAACATGTTCCCAGGCTACCTGGATGTGCACTGAATTTGAAGTAAAGTGCCTCTGTTGAGAATTTCTGTTTTCAAGAAGCTGGTAGAAAAGGGAAACTCTTCCACACCTTGACCTGCCCCCAACTCTCACTCACCTGTTGTGCCCACTGTGGACACGGGGCCCACACGCCGCCCCTCATGGAGCCCATACAGGTGCATCTTGTACTTGCGCCCGGGCTCCAGGCCCTGCACGGTGACCTCACGTTCCTCATCCCCGACACGCACCACCTGGGGCCGCCCGTCCCTGTCCTTGTACTGCACGGTGAAGCCGTCAAAGTGGCCCTGGGGGACGGTCCAGGAGAGGCTCAGCGAGTCTGAAGTGGAGCCTGTCACTGTCAGCTCCCCCAGGAGTGGCTCCTCGGGGGTCTCTGGGGCCTCTGTGGTGGGCTCTGTGGGGGCGGGGGTCTCTTCCTCTGGAGCTGAGAAGGCAGACACATGGGAGGATAAGGAGGGGTCCCATATTGTGTCCTTGAGGCCTAAGAGACACTGTGGCCATAAGTGGGACTTGAGAGGTTGGTTCTTGTTCTGGGTGGTTCTTGTGCTGAGTCTACACACATCACAAATGTGCCCAGGGCCCTAGGTCAGGGATGGGGAACAGGTGTCGGCCACCAGCACAGCTCATGGCTGTCCTTCTTTGCCCAGGAAGACTGGTCAGATCTCGGTAAGCCCCAGGTGGAGGACATATAGGGTACCATGCCACTAACACCAGAGAGAGGATAACTCTCCTGCTGCCCTCTCAGGGCCTCCACCCTTCACTCACCTGTTACCCCAATGGCAGAGACAGGGCCCACACGTTGGCCACTATGGAAACCGTACAGGTTCATCTTGTACTTGTGGTCTGGCTCCAGGCCTGAGATGGTGACTTCCTCCTCATGTCCCGGCACCCGCATCGCTTTGGGCTGTCCATCCCCATTCCTGTACTGGACCAGGAAGTGGTCAAAGTGGCCCTCAGGGACTGTCCAGGACAGACTCAGGGAGTCTGGGGTAACATCGGTCACAGTCAGCTCTCCCAGGCGTGGTTTGAAGGGAGGCTCAGGAGCAGCTGTGGGTGGGGCTGGGGTCATCCCAACTTCATCCTCTGGAGAGGGGCAGAGATAGAGGGGACAGGTGAGCTCTCTTCACTCCTCATTTCAGCGTGTGGAGGGTGAGGTATAAAAACAAGATGATAAATAATAATAAAAGGTGCCTTCCACAGTTAACCTAATCCATCTCTTCTTATTTGGTACCTTCTCTGTTCATGTCCTATCTATCCCCTGATCCCATACACCTGTGTCCTCACCACCATTCACTAACATTCTCATCATTTCTTCTCTGTCCCAGTATTGGCCTTTCTTCTCCACTCAGGCCTATGTGGTCACTACATCTGGGACCTCCTTCACTGGGGGTCTAGTTGGCATCTCATTATCTATCTCATGATGTCACTGTTCAGAACACCAAGTGCCCAACCAGAAACCTTGGAAGTATCCTGGACTGTTCCTCTCCCTAGCTGTGACTGGACTCTAGAGTGGTCAGTTCTCCTTCCTAAGTTCCCCCTGAAGTCATTCCCTCCCCCATCTCCACCCCATTCTCCTATTTGGGGTCCCTATCTTCTCTTACCTGGGCTACTACCTTCCTATTGGTCTCCCTACTCCAGTTTTACCTGTTTCCTGCAACTCAATCTAGTCTCCACTAAACAGAATGAGTCTTTAAAAATGTAAGTATGTCTGGAGGACATTATACTGAGTGAAATAAGCTACTCACAAAAGGATAAACATATAAGACCACTATTATAAAAAGTCAGCGGACTCCTGGTGTAGTGCTGTAGGGTTAGCACTGGACTGTGAACCACAAGGCTGGCAGTTCAAACCCACCAGCTGCTCCTTGGAAACCCTATACAGGGTCGCTATGAGTCAGAACTGACTCTATAGCACTTAATAACATTATAAAAAGTAAAAAACTGGTTTACACACAAACATTCTCTGACAGTTACCAGAGATAATATTGAAGTTGTTGAATATTTAATTTTACTTGGATCCAAAATCAACACTCATGGAAGCAGCAATCAAGAGGCCAAATGACATAGGGCATTATGCACATCTGTTGCAAAAGACCTCTTTAAAGTGTTAAAGAGCAAAGGTGTCACTGAGGACTAAGATATGCTGGACCCAAGCCATGGTATTTCAATCGCCTCATATGCAGGTGAAAGTTGGACAATGAATAAGGAAGACTGTAAAAGAACCAGTGCATTTGAATTATGATTGTTGGTGAGGAATTTTGAAAGCACCATGGACTACCAGAAGAGCAAACAAATCTGTGTTGGAAGAAGTACAGCCAGAATGCTCCTTGAAAGTAAGGATAACAAGACTTCATCTCACATACTTTTGACATATTAGGAGGAGCCAGTCCCTGGAAAAAGGAGCTCTGGTAGTGTAGTGGTTATGAGTGGGGCTGCTAACCTCAAGGTCAGCAGTTCAAAACTACCAGCCGTTCTGTAGGAGAAAGATGAGGCTTTCTGCTCCCATAAAGATTTACAGCCTTGGAAACCCTGTACAGGGTCGCTATGAGTTGGAACAGACTCCACGGCACACTACCACCACCACCACTAGTCCCTGGAAAAGGACATCATGCTTGGCAAAGCAGAAAGTCAGCTAGCTACAAAGAGGAAGAGCCCCAAGGAGACAGGTTGACACAGTGGCTACAACAGAGGGCTCCAGCACAATGCTTGTGAGGCTGGTGCAGACCTGGGCAGTGTTTTTTTCTTTTGTACATAAAGCTGCTCTAAGTTGAACCAACTCAACTGCACCTAACAAAAAAACAACAGGATGGGAGGGAGAGGAAGGGAGGGAGAATCACTAACTAGATGTTGTTGTTAAGTGCTGTAAGTAGGTTCCGATTCACAGCGATCCTGTGTAGGGCTTCCGAGGAGCAGCTGGTGGGTTTGAACTGCCGACCTTTTTCATAGTCCAGTGCTTATCCAACAGAGCCACACCAGGACTCCATAAAGCAGAGGTGGAGAATGGTTTTTTCTGCCAAGATCAATTGGCATAACAGAGGCTATAAAGACAATGTTGTACATCCCAGTTTGGTGAGAACTGTCTGGAACTGTAAAAGCTTGCAAGCAGCCATTTAAGATACTAAGATATTGGTCTCTTCCCGCTCAGATGAAAGGAGTGAAGAAAACCAAAGACCGAGGCAGCAGTTAGTCCCAGGACAAATAGTCCACGTGAACCCTAACCTCCTCCAGCCTGAGACCGGAAGAACTAGAAGGTAACCTGCTGCTACTACCAACCATTCTGACCAGTGACTCAATAGAAGATCCTGGTTAGAATGGGAGAGAAATGTAGAACAAAACACAAATTTATTAAAAAAAAAAAAAAAAAAAGTTCAGAGTTATTGGTCTAATAGAAACCAGAGGGACCCCCAAGACAATTGCCCTAAGTCATCCTTCTAACATGAAACTGAAGCCAGTCCTGGAGGCTACCCCTCAACCAAAGAACAGACCGGCTATAAAATAACACCTACGCAGAATGCGATCCTTAGAACAACTGTGTGAGGCCAAAAGGGCAGCATGTGCCCAAAAACTAAGATGAAAAGGTAGGAAATGGCGAGGAGACGGAACTAACAGAAACGGGGAGCCCCAGGTAGAAATGGGAAGGACATTAATACTGTGGAGGTTACAACCAATGTCATGGAACAATTTGTGTATGAATTACTGAATGGAAAACTAAATTTTTATGTAAAATTTCACCTAAAGCACAATAAGATTTTCCAAAAAATTATAAATATGATGGTATCATTCTTCAGCTTAAAACTGTACAACCAGCCCCCTTACCCTGGAAGGAATCACACACTCCATGAGCCCCCCTGCCCTCCAGACATATGTCAAGGTGATCTCTCCACCTCAAAAGATACCCTACAAAAGTTTCTCAGTCCGTCTATGCGCCATGCCATTTCCAGCCTCTGGGCCTTTCCATCTGCTGTGACTTGATCTAACATCTGTTCCCTCCTTCTCTAAGGAGAAGGCAGTCACCAGGCTCTTATGGGAGCCCATGAGCAGGCGAAGGGGTCCCTACCTGTCCTGGTCTGGTTCTGGGCTCCCTGTGCCATGCTCCTCCCCCTATGCTGTGTTTGTGGGTTCAGTCTCTGTGCCTAGGACTGTGTGTCCCATTAGGCCAGGAACATGGCTATCTGTCATGTCAGGGGCTGCCCAGGAGTTCTCCCACAGCACCCAGCTCAGGGCTCACCCACTAACTTCATCATCTATGAAACCAGCACCGGGACACTCTAGGTGGCACCATTAGGGCACACTGCAGCCTGACTTCTGCCATCTCCCATCTCCAGTGAGAGAGTAGCCAGGCCTTGGTGGGATTTAATTTTAATACTTTCAACAAATTCTAAGATATGATACAGGTTGAGGTTTCCTACTCAAAGTGAGGTCCGTGGGCCAGCAGCATGAGGATCTTGTTAGAAATGTGGCATTTGGGTCTTCAATTCAAACCTACTGCATTGAATCTGCCTCAGCATTTCTATGAGAATTGAAGTTTGAAGGGAGGCCCTGCCATGGAGAACATTTCTGTTTCCATTAAACTGGTAGAAAAGGGAAACTTTCCCACACTCCTTTCCTACCCCTGGCCCTCACTCACCTGTTGTGCCCACTGCAGACACAGGGCCCACACGCCGCCCCTCGTGGAGACCATACAGGTGCATCTTGTACTTGCGCCCGGGCTCCAGGCCCTGCACGGTGACCTCACGTTCCTCATCCCCAACACGCACCACCTGAGGCCGCCCATCTCTGTCCTTGTACTGCACGGTGAAGCCGTCAAAGCGGCCCTGGGGGACGGTCCAGGAGAGGCTCAGCGAGTCTGAAGTGGAGCCTGTCACTGTCAGCTCCCCCAGGAGTGGCTCCTCGGGAGTCTCTGGGGCCTCTGTGGTGGGCTCTGTGGGGGCAGGGGTCTCTTCCTCTGGATCTGAGAAGGGAGACACATGTTGGGTGAGGAGATGCCCTGTGAGATGTTCTCAAGGTCAAGGACAGAGACACTGTGGCCACAACTGGGACTTGAAGTCAGTTCTTGGACTAGGTGGTCCTGCTGGGTCAACACCTCATAAATGTGCCCAGAGCCCCATGTCAGAGGTGGAGACAGGTGGCTGTCACCGGCATGAATCACAGTCACCCTTCTCTGCCCAGGGAACTGTAGGCAGAACAGAGGAGAAGGTAACATGGCCACCATCACCAAGAGTGGGTGACCCCCGGGCCTCCACCCTCCACTTACCTGTCACCCCAATGGCAGAGATGGGGCCCACTCGCTGGCCATTATGGAAACCATACAGGTTCATCTTGTACTTGTGGTCTGGCTCCAGACCTGAGATGGTAACTTCCTCCTCATGTCCTGGAACCCGCACCACCTTGGGCTGCCCGTCCCCATTCCTGTACTGGACCAGGAAGTGGTCAAAGTGGCCCTCAGGGACCGTCCAGGACAGACTCAGGGAGTCTGGGGAAGCGTCGGTCACGGTCAGCTCTCCCAGGAGTGGCTTGAAGGAAGACTCAGGAGCAGCCGTCGGTGGGGCTGGGGTCATCCCAACTTCATCCACTGGAGAGGGACAGAGACAGAGTGGACAGGTGAGCTCTTCTCACTCGTTTCAACACATTTAGTGTTGTTATTGTTGTTGTGAAGTACCGTCAAGTTGGTTCTGAATTACAGTGACCCTGTATAGCGTTTCTGAGGAGCAACTGGTGGGTCTGAACTACCAACCTTGCGGTCCTGCAGCACCACACCAGGACTCCACGTTAAGGGTAAGGTACAAAAGTAAGATAATAAAATCGTAAGAAAGATGCCTGCTGTGGTTGCTCTGACCTATCTCTGCTTTTTTAGAAACTTTACTGTTGGTGTCCTACCCCCTGGCCCTCATGTGCCCTCCCCACTAGCCACTAACATCTCTGAGGCCTTTCCTCTGTTCTAGCACCTATCCTTCTGAGCTCAGGCCCACATGGCCACTGTGCTGTGGTTTGACTAGCTTCTCATTATCCATTTGAGGATGGCTTTGTTCCCAAACATGTTCATCTTCTGGGCCCTTGTCTTGTCAAAGACAGCTCTCGACACTGACTGCCCAACTTGAAACCTGGGAATATCCTGCTCTCGTCCCTTGGCTGGTGGTCACAGGGACAGAATGTGTCCAGTTCTTCTGAAGTTCCTCCTAGAACCCTTCTGTCCCCCATCTCCACCCTACTCCTCTCTCCTGGATTACTGCCTCCCTACTGGTCTCCCTCCTCTTGGCGTGTTTCCCCTTCTATCCATTCTTTACCAAACAGCCAGAATGAGGTTTTAAAAAATACAAATATGAAGGTGTCATTCTTGCGCTTAGAACTACATAACCAGCTTCTTTATCCCTGAAAAGAGGGAATCCCTCACTCCAGGAGCCACTCCCTCCCCTCCAGACACCTCTCAAGGCCACACACACCAAAAAAAAAAGAAATCAAAGGCATTATTCTCAGCACCTCTGAGCATCAAGCTGTCTCCAGCCTCTAGGACTTAGCTATGCTGGTGATCTGACACTCTCTTATTCCATTTCTAACACTGTCACCAGGCAGGTCTCACTGTTCTATGCTCCTCCCCTTTGCTGTCTCTCAGGTTATATGTTCCCACTATTGAGTGCCCTGTTAGGATACGAACTTGTGTGGCAGTTTCAAAGTTTCATCTCAGAAAAGGACAGGAGCAGCTGTGACACTTGAGGGCCTCTTGGACCTGTCTGTCTGACCTGGAGCTGCCGTCAGGAATTACCAACACAGACCAGGACTACTGTGTACTTGAACATGGCCCAGCCATGACTGCTGCTTCAGTACCAATCACACCTGTCTCCTGTCTGCCCTTGGCCCTTTCTGTAGATAAGACTTATTAAGAGATACAATAATAGAATCAGCCATACTTCCGAACAGCATCCAATCTAGAGCAAAGACCCGCTCCTTAACCTAACCTATAACCAGTGCTGTTGAATTGATTCGGAATTACGGCAACCTAATGTGTGTCAGAATAAAACTGTGCTCCGCAGGGTTTTCAATGACGGCTTTTTCTAACATAGATTTCCAGGCCGACCCAAAAGCACCTCTGGGTAGACTGTCATCTCAGTCTTTTGATCAACAGTCAAGTGTGTTAATGGTTTGCCTCACCCAGGAACTCCCTGCTCTTTACGCTTTCGCCAGAATCACCTATCACAAGCCCTAGTACGCGTGCTCTAATGAGTCCTTTCTGACACCCTGTCTCTGAGCTGTCCATGGTTCCCAGGATGCATTCTCCCTCACTGCATGCAGCATAAACCCAACTTGTTCAAGGGCAGGTGTTCTCCTTGGGGGTCTGGCTGGTAACCTCCAGTACCCAGATCAGGGCATGCAGGTCTATGTAAATAAACAAATTGACCAAGTGGACTGAAAACTCTGTTAATACTCCAAGCAGGTGTTACTGTCAGACCCCTGCCATCTTCCATCCTGGTCCCTGTCAACTAGAGAGCAGCTGAGCCTCAAGAAGAATCACGGATGGAAGTTAAATAATTTTCAACAAGTTATAAGAAAAGGTCCATACTCCATTGCTGTGTAGAGGCTTGTTACTCAAAGTGAAACATCTGTATCTCAGGGGATCTTGCTTGAAACGCAGCATATCAAACCTCAGCCCAAACCTGATGAACCAAATGAGCCCACATGACTTAGATGCACACTGAAGTTTGAATAGAGGCCCCATGATTGAGAAGGTTTCTGTGGCCATGAAACTGCTAGAAAAAGGAAACTCTCCCAGGCTCCTCCTCTACACCGTCCCACCTGTAAGGCCCACTGTGGACACGGGGCCCACACGACGCGCCTCGTGGAGACCATACAGGTGCATCTTGTACTTGCGCCCTGGCTTCAGGCCCTGCACGGTGACCTCATGTTCCTCATCCCCCACACGCACCACCTGAGGCCGCCCATCTCTGTCCTTGTACTGCACGGTGAAGCCGTCAAAGCAGCCCTAGGGGACGGTCCAGGAGAGGCTCAGCGAGTCTGAGGTGGAGCCTGTCACTGTCAGCTCCCCCAGGAGTGGCTCCTTGGGAGTCTCCGGGGCCTCTGTGGTGGGCTCTGTGGGGGTGGGGGTCTCTTCCATACCCTCAAAAGGGACTGAGAGGCAAGAGATGGAGAAACTAGACTTAATGGGTGGCTCCATTCAATAAGCACTGGAGTGCGAGCCACAAGGTCCTCGGTTTGAGCCCACCAGCCACTCTGAAGGAGAAAGATGAGGCTTTCTGCTCCTGTGAAGATTTTAAAAAGCCTTGGAAACCCTATGTTGTTGTTGTGAAGTGCCATCAAGTCAGTTCCTACTCATAGCGACCCTATATAGGGTTTCTAAGAAGCAGCTGGTGAGTGTGAACTGCTGACCTTTTTTTCAAACAGATCTTTTGATCCAGCTTGTCCTACAGTGCCACACCAAACCCTATATAGGGTGGCGGTAAGTCAGAACCGACTTGAGGGCACCAACTTTTCAGCTGGTCTCATTCATCAAATATACCCCACAAATCTCCTCCTCCAACCACAGGTATAGAGAGAGGGTCCTGGAGCCTTTGAATTAGCCATTATAGCTACCCAGGGCTCTGAGACAGGCCACACCACCATCCATGTACTTCTGGTGGGACTGCACTGTTACAAACCTTCAGAAAGCAATTTGGACACATGAGTCAGGAGCCAAAATAGTGTTCATTTCCTTTGACCCAATAATCCCTGTTTCTGGGCATCTATCCTAAAAAAAATTATTAAAAGGAAAAAGTTATAGCATGGAAGAATTCACTAAGGGATTAATCATGACAGCAAAATGTGTCTGGGAGTGTAAATGACCCATGAAAGGTGGTTAGTTCAAGTATGGTGCCTTCCACCATGAAGGATCAAATAACCATCATAATGCTGATTAATGCCAATTGTGTAGTCACTGGTTACATGCTAAGGGTGCAACTTGTGCATATAAAAGTAAGACCCAAGAATTACAGGAACATGATGAAGACAACTTTAAATCATGTGCCTACTGGAAAACACAGAAAATATGAACTATGCATATCATTACTAATGGTGGACGTTGGTTCAGGAGGGAATGAGGAGATTTTTTTCCTTTCTATTTTTCAAAATTTCCATAATATGGTTAGTTCTTTTTCACAACTAGAAAAATGTGGGCTTAAAAAATTTCTGATGAGAAAAAATGAATAATGGAGCAAGTGGGGTGTGGTAGAGCTGGAACAGGGAGCCTAAGGGATTTTGGTCTGTTACTCTAGTCTCTTCACTTTGTTACAGATGGTTTGCACTTGCCTACCATCCTAAAGGAGTCCTGGTGTGGAGCCATAGGTTAAGCACTGGACCTCAACGTCGGTTTAAACTGCAAGTCCTACTATTCAAACTCACCAGTTGCTCCTCAGAAACACCATATAGGATCGCTGTGAGACGGAACTGACTCAACAGCACGTGCCAACAACAACAACTAACCTGAAGCGTGATAGTTTGAACTCACCCAGCAGCACCCCAGAAGAGAGGCCTGATAATCTACTTCTATAAAGATGACCTGTTGCCATTGAGTTGATTCCAACTTATGGTGAACTCACATGTTACTGAGAATTCCATTAGGGTTTCCTGGTTGTAATCTTTATGGAATCTGATTGCCAGAATCAGCATTCCATGTCATGTTAGGTGGGTCTGAATGCCAACCTTTAGGTTAGTAATTGAGAGCAAACTGTTTGTACTCCCCAGGGACCGCCATAAAGATCGTTGGTGTTAAATGCCGTCAAGTTGGTTCTGACTTATAGTGACCATGTATAGAGTTTCCGAGGAGCACCTGGTGAGTTTAAAGCACCGGTCATACAGTTCAAACCATCCTTGCGGTCCAGTGTTTATCCCACAGTGCCACACCAGGACTTCTAGTTGCATGTAAATCATTTGCATCATCCAGTGGCTTTCTGTTGGTGTCAGAAGGGGCGGCTCTATGTTCTTCAAAGTAACGATTTTCAGAGAAAATGGGCTCTGTCATGCATAGAAATTCTCATGAAATACGCTAAACAGGTATAAGAATCTGGTGCAATGGCTTAGAGAAAGCAAGCCTGAATGACTGTACTTATGGAATTTAATTCATCTCTTGTTATTTTCCCCCATTGCTTATGGCCTAGAAATTTTAACTTTCCTGTGATTAGAAATGAAATTAATTACAAGTGTGATGGTAGGGTAGGAGGGGGTAGGAAGAAGTAGGAAAGAGGAGAAAGTATTCTATTTTTTCTGTCCCAAGATTTAAAAAAGAATTGATTGCCATTTTGAAAAGTCTGGACAACATAGAATACAATACAATAAAGGCACAGAGTCCTGGAATGTCCTCTTCCGTCCCAAAAACCATTCCTCCCAAGGGATGTGTTTCCTTCCAACTTTCTGGCCACACATGTTATATTGAAGTACATGTGACTAGCATCCTTACAAAGAATGTGTGCTCTCTCTTTCCAATGTACATTAAACATTAATTGTCTTTATAATGTTAAAACATTCCCATGGTGGCATAATAGTTCATTTTATAGATGTTGCCTAAATTAGTTCATCACTCCAATGTGGTTGGATGTTGGGTTGTTTTCTTTTTCTTGTCTTTCTGTGTGTGTGTGGTTATAACAAAGAATGCTATGATTAAGATGCCAAGAAAGGATAATTCTGGTAAGTCAGCCTTGGCACATTTCACCCAGTGGCTGACCACCAGAGGAAATGATGTGGCTGCAGAGTGGCCAAGGCTAAACCACTGGAACAAGCCTCAGAGGCCATGAAGTAAGGGGTGAGAGGGGAGCCAATGCCTCAAGCTGTTATCTACTGGAGGAAGTGCTCTCCTGCAGTCCCCATGATCCCTGCCCTTGCTCACCTGTGCGGCCCACTGCAGACACGGGGCCCACACGCCGCCCCTCATGGAGACCATACAGGTGCATCTTGTATTTGCGCCCGGGCTCCAGGCCCTGCACGGTGACCTCACGTTCCTCATCTCTGACACGCACCACCTGAGGCCGCCCGTCTCTGTCCTTGTACTGCACGGTGAAGCCATCAAAGTGGCCCTGGGGGACGGTCCAGGAGAGGCTCAGCGAGTCTGAGGTGGATCCTGTCACTGTCAGCTCCCCCAGGAGTGGCTCCTCGGGGGTCTCTGGGGCCTCTGTGGTGGGCTCTGTGGGGGCAGGGGTCTCTTCCTCTGGATCTGAGAAGGGAGACACATGGAGGGTGAGGAGATGCCCTGTGAGATGTGTTTGGACCCTAGGGAAAAGCACAGAGACACCCTGGCCATGACTGGGACCCGAGGTCTGTTAAGAGAAGCTTGCTCTTTAGGCTGGGTGGTCCTGCTGGGTCAACACCTCACAAACATGCCTGAAGCTCCAGGTCAGGTGTGGGGAAAGGTGGCAGCCACCAGTGACCACTCTTCTCTGCCCAGGAGGACCAGTCAGACCTCGGACATTTCAGGAAAACACAAAGGTACTATAGTCACCATCACCAGAGTGAAGAAGATTTTCCTGTTGGGTCTTCCCACAAGGCCTCCACCCTCCACTCACCTGTCATCCCAATGGCAGAGATGGGGCCCACTCGCTGGCCATTATGGAAGCCATACAGGTTCATCTTGTACTTGTGGTCAGGCTCCAGGCCTGAGATGGTAACTTCCTCCTCGTGTCCTGGCACCCGAACCACCTTAGGCTGCCGGTCCCCATTCCTGTACTGGACCAGGAAGTGGTCAAAGCGGCCCTCGGGGACCGTCCAGGACAGACTCAGGGATTCTGGGGTCACATGGGTCACAGTCAGCTCCCCCAGGCGTGGCTTGAAGGGAGACTCGGGGGTCTCAGTGGATGAGACTGTTGGTGCTGGGGTCATTTCCTCCTCCTTTCCTGGGGCTGGATCGGGAGACAAAGAGAAACAGGGAAAATGTCCATGGTGGGAGGGGCAGCTTCTGGTCCAGGGTCCAGGGTCCAGGGTCCTGGGACTTCTCCCAGACACAGCAGGACCCCATGCCCTGGATGCCATGGCTCCGGATAAAGCATCACTGCTTGGATTGAGTGTTCAGCTGCCAGGGCAGAGCGCACACTTGTGGGGAGTCACGTTTGGTGGGGCCAGGGCCCTATGCTATGTATATACTAAACCCCCAGGAGAGCAGAGCCACACAGAATGAACTTCGTCAAAACCAGACATAGCAGGGAAGTCACATCAGGAGATACACCCACCCTTGGCTCCAGAAGTCCACTTCAATGGTTTCCCTTTAATATCCCTTTGGTTTCAAAGGTATTATGTCATTTGAGTTGTGTTCCTCCAAAATATGTGTTGTAAATCCTAACCCTTGTACCTTTAGATGTAATCCCATTTGAGAATAGGGGTTTCTTTGTTATGTTAATGAGGCCATAGCACTGTATGCTTTTGTTGTTGTTGTTAAGTTTCTTGGCGTTGGGTCTAATTCATAGCGACCCTGTATAGGGTTTCTGAGGAGCAGCTAGTGAGTTTGAACCACCAATGAATGACCTTGCAGTCCAGTGCTTATCCTATGGTGTCACATCTTCACTTTTGAGACATAAAAGAGCAGATTAAGCATAGAAGAAATCAGATACATTGTCTGAAGACAACAGAGGTAGATCAGTCCATATGTCCGGATGGCAGCAACAGGGATTTTCCCTCAGGCCTTCCCTTACAGCTGATTCCCTGAATTGGGATTTCTGGTAGCATAGTGGTTATGAATCAGATTGCTAACTTCAAGGTCAGCAGTTCGAAACTACCAGCCCTTCCGTAGGAGAAAGATGAGGCTTTCTGCTCCCGTAAAGCTTTATAGCCTCGGAAACCCTGTGCAGGGTTACTATGAGTCGGAACTGACTCCACGGTACTTAACAACAACAACAAACCACTGTGAGAAAATAAATTTCCACCCTTTGAAACCACTTATGTGGTTTTTAAATCAAATTGTATTGATAGCTGAGGGTGAAAGACAAGGCCATACATAGTGAGAACCCCTTTGCACTTGGGTCTTGTATTTCTTTTCTGTTGCTAACTGAGGGCAGAGCTGTCTCACTCCCTTGTCCCCCAGTGAGGCGGCTCTGCTGCCATGTGTGAAATTCTTTGTTTTCTGTTCTGAGTACAGTCTTACTCTGCCTTAGTAGTTGAATTAGAACCATCATGTCTCTTACATCTATTGTGTTTGGAAACTGGCTCTTCCGCATTTAGCAGGTAATAGCTACAAAAGAGTTTACCAAAAGCAGTTTAACCGATGTTATAAGCACACCTTAATAAGGCATTCTCCCCCTTCATTAAGTAACCAATGTTGGGAGTCCTGGTGTGGTGCTGTGGGTTAATGCGCCAGACTGCAAAGTTGTTTGTACCGCAAGGTTGACGGTTCAAGCTCATCAGTTGCTCCTCGGAAACCCTATACAGGGTCTCTATGGGTCGGATCGACTCCATGGCACTTAACAACAACAACATAACCAATGTTAGCAAGTGAACTAATAGTATACGTGTTAACAGAATTCAGTGTCTTTTAACATGAATGGATATCAGCTTGGGGGCTTGAGAAGCATATACAATTTTTCACACTGAAATCAGTGATAATTAACAAATCTGTGAGACTTGGCCCTAGGAGGTGTTCAGGGACTAATTACCTTCTTTGGGCAGGAAAGCCTATAGTTACCGTTCACTGTGAGCTAAGCCATACTGGTGCCCAAACCACAAGTATGGTTATTCCTTTTTCACAGATGAAGAAAGGGAGGCACAGAGAGACCTCCCTTTTTTCTTTAAGATCACACAGCTTGAATGGGTAAGGCTAGATCTGTCTGAGCCTGTAATTTCTCTAATTGGAGGAAATCACCAGCCCGGAGACTTCAGTCCCCAGTGGCCTCTCCCAGAAGGGCCTGGAACTTCTCCAGGATTCACTCTCCCTACTCCCTTGACCACTCCTGGCTAAGGTTTTGGTGAACAAGAGGTTGGGTCAGAGGTTTGTCAGGTTCTCGGAGCCCTGCCTCTTCAAGAACCCTAGAATCCTATGTATGAAGGGTGAGAGGGTGAGAGAGGGCAGGGACAGGCTTAGTCTCAGAGAATTGCACAGAAACAGCTAGACAATGACAATGAAAAGTGAGCCCAGTCCAGCTTGGAGACAGCCCAACACCCTACTTCATACTCACCAGTTAAACCAACAATGGAGACAGGACCCACGCGCTGGCCATTATGGAAGCCATACAAGTTCATCTTGTATTTGTGGTCAGGCTCCAGGCCTGAGATGGTGACCTCCTCCTTGTGTCCTGGCACCCGCACCACCTTGGGCTGCCCATCCCCGTTCCTGTACTGGACCAGGAAATGGTCAAAGTGGCCCTCAGGGACCGTCCAGGACAGACTCAGGGAGTCAGGAGTGGCATCGGTCACCATCAGCTCCTCCAGGCGTGGCTTTGGAAGGTCCTGACTGGTGCTGGGAGATGTTGCCACAGGAGCTGAGGGCTCCTCTTCATGGGCTAGGAAGGAAGAGATCCAGACAGAATCTTAGGAAGATCATCAAAGTCTGGGTGGCAACCACACTGGTCTCTTTGCCATCCCTCAAATGTGCTAGGCAGCCTCCCACCCCAGGACCTTTGCCCTGTGTGTTCCCTTCGCCTGAATGTTCTCTTCCCAGGTGTGTGTGGCTCTTGCTCATGCTTCCTTTATGTCTTTACTCAAATACCACCCTGATGTTTTCTTTATTTAAACCTCCAATTCCCCAACTGCAATATCTCCTCCTTATTTGAACCTGATTCCAGCAACAAATTGCAAAACAACAGTGACGAAGCAATCATGAGACTTCAGCTCTGCTTAGATACACGATGATATTAAGGAACGAGTGTTCATTTTGAAAGGTGTGGTCACTGTTTTGTGGTTATTTTTAAAGTAAAGAGTCCTCCTTTTTGTTTTTCTTTTTCTAATGGAAGTACAGCGTGCCGAGGAGTAGTGGCATATACATGCAATGAGATCCCACGTAACAATAAAAAGGAGCAAAGTTCTGACACATGCTACAACATAGCTGAATATTACGCTCTGTGAAAGAAGCCCAAAGCCAAAGAAAATATATGATATGACTCCATTTATATGAAATGTCCACAATAGACCAATCTACAGAGACAGGAAGTCTATACTAGTGGTTGCCTAAGGCTGGAGTGTGAATGCTGTGGCTCTGTACGGTAAACACTGGACTTTGAAACACAGGGTTGGTGGTTCAAGCCCACCAGCTGCTTTAAGGGAGAAAGATGAGGCTTCCTGCTCCACAAAGACACAGCCTTGGAAACCCTGTACGGGGTCACAATGAGTCAGATCCAACTCAACGACATTTAACAACTGGGCTGGACTGGGACTAGGCTTTCTGTGGTGATGGAAATCTTCTAACATTGGATTGTGGTCATAGTCATTTTGTTGGAAGTGCCATCAAATTGGTTCCAAGTCATAGTGACCCTGAGCAGCTGGTGGGTCTGAACTGCCAACCTTGCAGTTAGTAGTCCAGTGCTTATCCTATAGTGCCAAAAAACTCTGTAAATATACTAAGGATCAGTGAACACGTTCAAGTGTTTTGTAGTATGTGAATTCTAGCTCAATGTAACTGTTAATTCTAAAAATATACATATACATAGTGTGGAAGGATGAGAGGCAGGTGAGGCAGACATGAGCTGGCACTGACGGATAAAGCAGAGTGGTAGGAACTTGGAATTCATTACCATATTCTTTCTCTTTGCTTATATGTTTGACATTTGTATAATATTTGTTGAAGGGATTTTTTATTTTTCCCAATCCCACAGCAGTTCTCTTGAGTTCCCAGGCAGAGCAGATGGGTCAGTGAGCCACCAGCCTAGGTGACTGTATTCCCTATGGTCTCTCCCAAACAGGCCTGATCCTTCTCTGGGATTTGATCTTTCCACCCAGAGCATATCTGTCCTGGGTGCTGGTGGACAGGGGACTGGCTTTGGAGGCTTCAGGGCTCTGGGCCTCCATGTGGGAGATTTTGGAGGCTCCACAGGATGAGACTTTACCCCTTGCTCACCTGTTGTGCCCACTGTGGACACGGGGCCCACACGCCGCCCCTCATGGAGACCATACAGGTGCATCTTGTACTTCCGCCCAGGCTCCAGGCCCTGCACGGTGACCTCACGTTCCTCATCCCCGACTCGCACCACCTGGGGCCGCCCGTCCCTGTCCTTGTACTGCACGGTGAAGCCATCAAAGTGGCCCTGGGGGACGGTCCAGGAGAGGCTCAGCGAGTCTGAGGTGGATCCTGTCACTGTCAGCTCCCCCAGGAGTGGCTCCTCGGGTGTCTCTGGGGCCTCCGTGGTGGGCTCTGTGGGGGCGGGGGTCTCTTCCTCTGGATCTGAGAAGGGAGACACAGAGAGGGTGAGGAGGGGCTTATGAGAAGCATAGAGAAGTTGTGGCCAAAACTGGGACCTAAGGTTGGTTCTGAGAAGCCGTCTTGTGCTGGGTGGTTCTGATGGATCAACACCTCAGAAATGTGGCCAGAGTTCCTAGTCAGTGCTGGGTAATAGATGGCAGCCACCAGCACAGCTCATGGCTGTCCTTCCTGCCTCAGGAGAACTGGTCAGACCTCGGGGAGCCATAGGCAGAGGACACAAAAGTACCACAGCCACCATCACCAGAGAGAGGATGATTCTTCTGCTGCCCTCCCCCCAAGGGCCCCCACCCTCCACTCACCTGTCACCCCAATGGCAGAGACGGGGCCCACTCGCTGGCCATTATGGAAGCCATACAGGTTCATCTTGTACTTGTGGTCAGGTTCCAGGCCTGAGATGGTGACCTCCTCCTCGTGTCCTGGCACCCGCACCACCTTGGGCTGCCCATCCCCATTCCTGTACTGGACCAGGAAGTGGTCAAAGTGGCCCTCAGGGACCGTCCAGGACAGACTCAGGGAGTTGGGGGTGGTGTCGGTCACTGCCAGCTCCCCCACACGGGGTTTTATAGGAGTTTTGATGGCAGCTGTAGGCGGTTCTGAAGGTTCTTCCTCTTCCTCCTCTGAACAGAGAGAGGGACAGAGAGAAGGATTTGAGCAGTAGCAGGGTGTCTACAGGGGTGGGTGTCTGCCCTCCTCTGGGTCCCCCAGCTGTGTGGAAGGCAGCAGAGCAGCCAGAGCTCTTCTAGCTCACCTGTTAGGGCCTCGATGCGGGCAGGACCCACCTGCTGCCCATCATGGAAACCATACAGGTCCACCAAGTATCTCTGGTTGGATTTCAGGTCGGGGATGGTGACATCATTCTGGTCACCATCTAAACTGACCGTCTGGAGTAACCCGTCACTGTCTGTGTATTGGGCCACAAAGGAGTCAAATTCTCCCTCAACCGTCCAGGAGAGATGCAGGCTGTGTGGCGTGGCCTTCTCCAGGGTGAGTGGCCCCAGATGGGGCTCAGTCTCTGCAGGGGCTGGAGCCTCGGTCACACCTCTGTCTTCTTCCTTGGGGGCTGGCTCAGAGACAGGAGATATGGGTGAGGGTCTGTCTCGAACCCCTCAGAGACGGGGGGGAGGAGGAAAGAGAGACAGGCCAAGATGTGAGCAATCAAAAGGACCAACAGCTGATCCACATAGATGAATTTCACAAGCATTATGCAAAGTGCAAGAAATCCAGAAATAAACCAAACCCATTGCCAAGTCGATTTTGATTCATGGAAACCCCGTGTGTTGTTGTTGTTATGTGCCGTCAAGTCGGTTCTGACTCATAGTGACCCTGTATAGGGTTTCCGAGGAGCAGCTGTTGAGTTTGAACTGCTGACCTTGCGGTTAGCAGTCCCGTGGTTACCCTATCATGCCATACCAGGACTCCTTTTGGTTAGTTATTGTTGTTACTGTTATCAAGTGCCATCCTATCAGTTTTGATCCATAGTAACCTATAAGATTTCTGAGGAGTGGTTGGTGGGTTTGAACCACTGACCCTGAGGTCAGAAGTCCAGTACTTATCCTACAGTGCCACATCAGGACTCTTGGCTAGTGTTATTGTTATGTGCTATTGAGTTGGTTTCCATTCAGAACAGCCTTGTATAGGATTTCTGAGGAGCAGGTGATGGTTTTGAACTGCTGACTTTTGTGTTCCAGTGCTGGTCCTACAGTGCCACATCAGGAGTCTTGGTTAGTGGTAGGGCATAAATCATGTGAGCCACCCAGGAACCTTCAAATGCAAGAAGCCAGATGCAAAACACCACATACCATATTATTCTACTATGGTACACTTATAAAGGCCTTAAAGCTATCCTGGCAGAGAGAGTCTGGGGTTATAGGAATGGACTGCAGAGTCACCAGGAAACTGTGGGTTAAGGGAAATGTTTTGTATTTCATTTGTGATGGTGGTTTTACTTACTAAAACTCATTGAAACACTGACTTATAAGGGGTGAATTTTACTGCATATGATAAGCACTGAGCTATGAACCACAGGTGGGCAGTTCTAGCCCACCAATCGTTCCATGAGAGAAAGATGAGGCTTTCTACTCCCACGAAGATTTTTTAAAAAGTTTCAGATATCTTTTACAGGGCATCTATGAGTCAGAACCAACTCGACAGCACTTAACAAATGTGCTGTTCTCAGAAGCACTGCCTGTCTGCTAATGATGATGACAAACTTGGTACATGTATACAATGGAGTATTTCTCATTCATAAGAGGAATGAAGTTCCGATACATGCCAAAATATGAAGGAACCTTGGAAGACATCATGCTGAGCAAACTAAATCTGTTGCAAAAGAACAAATACTGTATATTCTCACTTGTTTGAAATAAACAAATATACACGAACCAAAAACTATTCATGGTTTCTAGGAGTCAGTGGGAGGGGGAAGGAAACATATTTAGCGGGCAGTGAGTTTAGGTTCATGGTGGTGGATAATTTGGAAAAGGATTGCAAGATCAGCTGCACAACTTGAAGAACCTAATCAGTATCACTGAAGAGCACATGGAGAATCTGTTGGTATATGCTTTTCTGTGAGTTCATATTTTCACCACAATTTTTCTTAAATGCTGAATTGGCTAATCTATGAAGTTTTACCACAATAACAAAAAAATAAAGCTGATCCCCTCCGGAAAAGAAGGGAGATGAAAACTCAGAAATGGTGTGGCTCCATGAGAGCAGGAAGTCAAGTGGGAATGGAGCGTAGGGGGTCTTGGCCGCAGCCCACTCACCAGTCACAGCGATGGCGGACAGGGGACCCACACGCCGGTCACCATGTAGTCCATAGAGCAGGAGCTTGTATCTGCGGGCAGGGTCCAGGCCCGGGACGGTGGTCTCCCGGAGGCTGCCCTCCACAGGCACCACCTGGGGCTGTCCATCCTTGTCCTTGTACTGGACCACAAAGGAGTCAAACTCTCCCTCGGGAACTGTCCACGAGAGGCCCACAGAATCTGGGGTGACGCTGGTCACCTGCAGCTCCTCCCCTAGACGAGGCTTCATGGGTCGTTTGGTTTCAGGCTTGTCCATAGCTCTCCGGGGCTCTGAGATGGAGACACAGGGAGGGAATGGCTGAGATGGTTCTGGAAGGCTGGTGACCTCCCAGGGCAGGACTGAGAGACCTGGAGATAGGGCTTTGTGTGGCTGAGCTTCTGCAAGACTGGTATGAGTGCCTGGGGAGCTGGATCCAAGCTGGGGAGGCTGGGGTCAAATCACAACCACGTGGCGATCAGCAGGGTGCCGGGTGCCTTCTTTGGAAGGCCTCAGGGGAGTAGAGTAGGGCTTGCAGGGGACTCGCTCACGCTCACCTGTGGTGCCATCAGTGGTGAGGGGGCCGTGGCGCTTCTTGTCCAGGAGGCCGTAGAGGAGGAATCGGTACTTGCGGCCGGGGTCCAAAGGGGTGATGATGACTGAATGTTGGTGGCCTTCCACAGGCACCACCCTGGGCCCATCCCTGTCCTTGAACTGGACCACGAAAGAGTCAAAGTCGCCCTCGGGGACGGTCCAGGAGAGGCGCAGCGAGTCTGTGGTGGGATCCGTCACCCACAGCTCCCCAAGTCGAGGTGGGGTTCCTAAGCTGTCAGCACCTCGGGCAGCTGACAGAGAAGAAAGATTCTTGGGCTTATTTTTTTCCAAAATGACTCCCTGACTGCCTCCCACTGGGGTTGGAAAAATCCAGAAGGGTCCAAACGATCAGTACCTCCCCAAAGTGTTTCTATCATCCTCCTGACCCTGCCACCAGTACCAACTGGCCCAGACCTCTCTCCACATGACCAATGTGGGGAGGGACCTTCTGCCCTAAGACATCTCTGTCTAGCCCCCTCCCACCTACTGGAAACTGTTTTTCTAGCAGGTACAGCTTATCATAGAAGCCCATGCTTTGGCTTCAGCTTGTCTCTGGAGCCATCTGAGGATCCAGGGGAGGTTAGAGAGGTGCAGAATCTCTGAGAGGGGCAGACCATAGCTAGGGGAGCCAGGAGTTATGCTGGTCACTGACTTGGCCCTGGACTCTCTCATGCACTGGCTGAACCTGGGAGAAGTGAAACTCCTACAGGGCCCCATGGGGCAGTGGGGCTGCCTGTGGGTGGGGTAAGCAGTGAAGTGGGGACCTGAGATGGGGAAGGATCTGGTGTCTGCCCAAGGAATCATTGGGGCCTGGGAAGGAGCTGGCCTGCTGCCTTCCTGGACAGGGAGAACTCTGACAGCATTGTTATTGTGAGAGTGTTCTGGCAACAGGGAGCTCCAGGGTGGGGAAGGCCTGGACCGAACCCCAGGAAAGGGGCAAAGCTGGCTGGGCCAGGCAGTCAGCCCAGGGCTCTTCTGGTTCCAGTTTTGAGGCCCCAGGCGGGCAGGAGGAGGAGGGAGGTGTTCAGAGAGACAGGGATGGGACTGGGACGAGATGGACCTTAGCCAGGAGGGGAAGTGAGGGACTGTGGGGGTAGTCAGAGAGGTGGCAGCAAAACCCTCAGAAGTGATGAGTACCTGGAGAGAGGCCCCTTCTCCCAGTGTCCCAGTCCAGAAGTGTGTCTATGGAAAACAGCACCTAAGGCAATTCGTCTTAGATTGCTGAATCATCCCTCAGAGCTGGTGGAAACTGTGATGGGCAATAGAAACTGCTCACAGATACCCAGCCCCTCAAGTGATGCCTAAAGCATGTGCCATTCCTTAGCTCTACCTCGGTTCTCAGTTCTATCCTCCAGGAAAGGGTATGAAGGTGTAAAGTATGACAGGAGAGAAAAAAGTCCTGGGCAGAGTAGCCAGGAATTGGCCCTGATCTCCTGCTCTTGCCTGCCTTGTGCCTTTCCAAATGAAAAAGAGATGAGACCAGGGAAGCCTTCTTCAGCAGCGTGAGGAAGGGCAGGAAGGCCACAAGGGGGGCTCTCACCAGTCTTCGCCTCCACAGAGACTGGGCCTTGTCGCTTCCCATCTTGGATCCCAAAGAGCAGGAACTTGTACTTGCGAGAAGGCTCCAGGTCAGGGATGGTGACCTCACGCTGGTCTGCTGCCACAGACACCACCTGGGGCTGCCCGTCCCTGTCCTTGTACTGGACCACGAAGGAGTCAAACTCGCCCTCTGGGACTGTCCATGAAAGGCCCACGGAGTTGGAGGTCACTTCAGTTGCTATCAGCTCCCCAAGGCGAGGCTCCTGGGGATGTTCAGGAGCCTCTGTGACTGGGACTGATGGAAGGGGAGCTAGAATCCAGAAGACAAAGAAAGTGGCTGAAATTCTAAGGGGAGAATTCTCCTTTAGCAGACTCCTGGGCTCCGTGAGCCTCAGGGAGTCCATGATTTTCCATGCAGCTTTTCCTCAATGTGAATCTGCCTGAGCAGTACCTGTGACTCTGTCTCCAATGGAAACCACAGGTGTTCTCAACTACTTACAGTGACTGCAGGAACTTCAGAGCAGCGCTGCCACTCATCACAACTTTTAAACACCGGCTGATTGTGAAACTTGCTGCTAAATCTTGTTACTGAATGAACCAACATAGAAGTCCAAACCCTAATCCCAAACCTGTTGCTGTGGAGTCAATGCCGACCCCTAGCGACCCCATGTGTTACAGAGTAGAACTGCTACATAGGGTTTTCTTGACTCTAATCTTTATGGATACCCTATACAGGGTTGCTGAGCTGGAATCGACTTGATGGCACGTAACAACAACAACAACAACAACAACAACAATCTTTATGGAAACATATTGTCAGCTGGGTGGGTTCAAACCACCAACCTTTAGGTTAATAACTGGGTGCAAACTTCCTAAAGCCTCCTTAATAAAGAAGTTCACATATTATTAAATCACACATTTGAATTTTACAAAGTATGTTAATAATTGCCAGTATTAGTTGGCTTCCTTTGTTATCCTATGCATTTTACTTGATAGGTTTACAAACGCTGTTCCGAGAGGAGTCCCTGCGTTTTCTCAGACGCACGGCCCCAAGATAGCAGAGCGCCTGAACCAGAAAAGCCACAAGGGGCAGGAAGGACCATCTGGAGTGGGCTGCTTCCCAGGCGGACTAAGACTGCCTCTGTTGAGGGGAAGGCGGCTGAGGACCTCTAAGGACAAATGCTAAGCTGTGTGTCATTAAACCTTAATTAAAAAGGGCAGCAGGGGGAGGTGGCAGCCATGTCCAAGTCACTGTAGGGTTGTGAAGAGAAGGGGGGAAACAGCTGTAAACACTCAGAGAGTCTGTGGGCTGGATGTGGGTCTGATTCAGATGGAAGAGAAACAATTCCACTGGGGGAGGGTGCTCAGGGTAAAGCAGGGGCGGCTCCAGCCTGTATGAGGAGCCAAGGGGTGGGGAAACTGACTAACGTGTCTGTGCCCCAGAAAGGACCTGTGGGACCACTGAGACAGGGTGTAAAGGGGTCCAGCCCCTCAATGAGGGAATGGTGGTGGCCAGGCAGGGCTGGGAGAGGGGTGGAATGGCCTCAGCCCGCTCACTCACCTGTCATGGCTACCACAGACAGGGGCCCCACACGTTGTCCATCATGTATCCCGTAGAAGTTGAACTTGTACTTGTGGGAGGGCTCCAGGTCAGGGACCGTGACCTCACGCTGGTCTGCGGCCACAGACACTGCCTGGGGCTGCCCGTCCCTGTCCTTATACTGGACCATGAAGGAATCAAATTCACCCTCGGGTACTGTCCACAAGAGGTCAACAGAGTTTGGGGTTACATCTGTCACTGTCAGCTCCTCCAGGCGTGGCTCCTGAGGGGGCTCATTGATTGGAGGAGCCTCTTCTTCCTGTTTTGGAGCTGAGACAGAGATGGGGGACATGTTAGGAAAAGACCCTCTTTTTCCTTGAAAATAATTATGTAGTTGCTTTTATCATACCCACGAGGTTGATTTGTTTTAAAAGTACACACTGACAGGCTCATCTGTCTGGTCAACACTCTGCCATGTTGCCCTTGTTGTGTGTCATCAAGTCTGTTCAGACTCATTAACGAACTGCACAAAACTTCTGGGGCTGTAAATCTTCACGGGAGCAGAAAGCCTTATCCTTCTTCCACAAAGTGGTTGAAGGGCTCGAACCATGGACCTTGTGGTTAGCAGTCCAGCGCTTATCCTACAGGGCCACAACACTCACTCTTCCATGTTGTTGTTAAGTGTCATCGAGTCGGTTCTGACTCAGTGATCCTGTAGAAAGTTTCTGAGTGGTTGGTGAGTTTGAACCACCGACCTTGCAGTCTAGTACAGTATCCTGCAGCGCCACACCAGGACACTCTTCCATAAGTCCCTTTAATCTGGGACTGCGCTTGGTGGGGTGTCAGCTGTCCCAGAGACCCTGGGAAAGTGGCTGAATTCCATCCGTATGTTCATCATTCTAAATTCATCCCCCTTGTCCAGACCTCTCCATCTGAACCCCACACTTATGCTGCTCAGCATCTTCCCTGGATGCCCAATGGGTGTCTCAAATTCAGAAGCACATGGCAGGTACGGCATGCGCCCAGGGCGCCAGTTGGGATGGGGGACACTGAACAGTTTCTGTTGGTCCTTCGCAGTTCCTACAGCCAGCTCTGAAAGATCACTCAGCAATTTAAAACGAATTGCCATAGGTGTTTATTTCCCATAGACACATTGCTGTCCAAATCCACGACTCGTGAGCTCCCCGCATTTGCTCCCTATGCAGCCTTGTCCATCTCAGGCCAGAACTCTCTGTCATCTGAGTGCTATCTCCTCACATCCCACTGACTGGAATGGCACCACCTTCAGGACCTGGACCCTTCTTATCACCTGCTCTGCCCCACCTCCAGGCACCACCATTTCTTGCTAGACTATTCCAGTAGCTTCCTTAGTCACCTCCTTCCTCCACCCTCATTCCCCTTCCATCAGTCCTCAGTACTCCCCACCCCCTGCGCAGCTGCCAGAGGCTGGAAGTAGCTCCATCTCCCTCAGACTAAAAGCCTCATCTTTACAATGGCCTATGAGATACCACATGGAATTTTCTAACATCCTCCCCCACGCTTCATCTTCCTTCCATTCAGTAGACATGCTGGTACCTCCCTGCCTGCCTGAACTCCTTGGTGGCATTTGCTCTTCCTTCTTCCTTGAATGCTCTTTCTGCAGACACCTGTGTAACTTGTCATCTCACCTTCTTGGAGTCCTTCCTCAGTCATCACCTTCTCAGGAAGGCCCCTTTCCCAGCCCACTGACACAGACTCACCATCTCAGCTACTGGACATTGTGTTTCTGCACAACACTCATAGCTCTAACCTGCAGCCTTGCCCACACACGGAAGCACCTGCTGCCTACCTCCCTCCGGGAGAGTCAGCCCTCAAGCAGAGACTCTGCCTTGCCCTCTGCTGTATCTCCTGCAGAGACACTCACCAAGGGTTGTTAAATCAGTGAACAGTCTGAGGAGGCAGTGAGTGATGTTAATGGGGGAGGAACAATCTGGAAAAGGAGCGTGAGATGATTGCACAGCTTGAAGAATGTAATTTGTGTTACTGAATGGTACATGCAGAAATTGTTGAATTGGTGTATGTTCTGCAATGCACATTCACAACAACAAAAATAAAATACATTTTAAAAAACTAACGAATGGTCTACAGGTTTGAGCTCAAGAAAGCTGAGCTCAGGACCTGCTAGCCCCTACTGCCTTGGAATGACCTGAATCTAGGAGGCACCCCTCATTAGTCCAATTAGATGGATTCAACTCCCTACTGCTTGTTTCTCTAGCTCCTGAGGAAAAGTCCTAGAGAAGTAAAACTTGTCTAAAAACAAACTGATTTTAAAAAGAAGAAAAGAAAGCCAGACTGGTGATGAGGCCTCAGGCAGACAGAACTGAGTCTAGGTGGGGTAAGAAGCTACCATGGCAGCTGCAGTAGGGAGGAACCAGATTAACCATCAGGTACTGAGCATTTCATAGCAGCCCCATTTGTTAGAGTAGATCTGCTCCATAGGGTTTCTTGGCTGTAATCTTTACCAAGGACTCCTAGTGTGGTGCTGTAGGATCAGCACTGGACTGTGAACCACAAAGTCAGCAGTTCAAATCCACCAGCTGCTCCTCAGAAACCCTAGACAGGGTCGCTATGAGTCGGAACCGACTTGAGGACACTTAACAACAACATTCTTTACTGAAGCAGATTACCAGGTCTTTCTTCTAGCTGGGTGGGTTTGACACACAAATCCTTAGGTTAATAGTCAAGGGCGAACCATCTGTGCCATCCAGAAACACATGGGTGGCTATGAGTTGAAATTGACTTGACAGCAACAGGCTTGTTTTTTGAGCACATGTTATATGCTAGGCACTAAACCAGGCAATCATTGCATTTCGTTTGCTGTCTAGCTTTATTAATCCCTAGTGCATCCATTTCCTGCCCATTTTTGCCCTCTGTACAGTGTCGTTATAAGTCAGAACTAACTCTGCAGCACTTAACTTCCTTCACAAAACTCATCTATCAGTTTGTTGTACTGAAGTGGCTTAGGTATTGCTGTGATGCTGGGAGCTAGGTACCAGTATTCCAAATACCAGCAGGGTCACCTATGGTGGACAGGTTTCAACAGAGCTTCCAGACTAGAGAGAAAGGCCTGGTGACGCCAATAAAAACCTATGGATCCCAGAATATTGTCCAGTATTTCAGCTCACTTACTTTGTACACATCATGAGGAGGGACCAGGCACTGGAGAAGAACATCATGTTTGGTAAAGGGAAGGGCCAGCAAAGGTGAGGGAAACCCTCAATGAGATGGATGGACAGAATGGGCTCAAATAGACCAACGGAAGTGGCATGGGACCGGGCAACGCTTTGTTCTGTTATATGCGGGCTTACTCTGAGTCAAAGTCAACTCGACAGCAACATGCTTCCTTCCATGAGCGAGAAACTGTCACTCATCATCAAGCCTTCCTTATTGCTGGATTAACCGGGAAAGGTGAGATTAGAACTCCCCATGAGTATGACAAGCCCCACACTACATTTAGGATAATCCTTTTCCCATTTAGAGATATTTCTAATTAGTTCCATGCATTTGATCTCCTGCCAACAACTGTGCTATGCATCAGGTAGGCCCCTCAGTCAGCTCCCCAGACTCTGCTGTTTCCACATCTGCTGCTCTGAGGGCCATTTAAATATTCTCCAGGACATCTAAAATATATGTCTTAAAATATCTAGTCTGAAAAAAAAAACTAGTCTGTGAACATGGATATACAGTGACTTCTCCACAGGGAATTTTGAGAAAAAAGTAAAAATGAATACGCTAATCTTTTACATCACCACCTCTAACCCTCCCTACAATGTGGGTTTGTTTGCTCCACCTTGAAGCTGAGGAACTTGAGGTTCAGACAGATGAGGTAATTTTTTCAAAATTATCCCAGCTAAGAACTCAGTTTGTTAGATAACCAAACTAAATTTTCTCTACTACACCACCTCAGTGAGTGACCCCTTACTTCGGGGTCAGGGCTTCACAGAGCCCTGTGTGGCTGCCAGGAGAGGGGAGATCCATGGGTCACCCCAGGAGAAACCTCAGCAGCATGTTCTGAGCCTGGCACGAGCTTTCACTATGCTACCTCAGGCCCTGAGGATAGTAACTTAGAGTGACTTTGCCTTTTGTTCTCCTCTCAGTGCTGACTGACTCAAAGAAAAGAAATCAGAGGTGGAAGGTTCTAGAAATTCAGCCAATCAAGTCACTCTGAAGTAGGGTTTTGTGGAGGTACAAAAGCCACGCTCTAGAAGTCCATCTATTTCTCTGCCTTTATGTGTTTAATCTTTCCTCTTATAGTAACAGCTGTGTTTGAAAAAAGGTGTGTTCTTCTTTGGATGAGCAAAGGGGAAAGGAGATTTCTCGCTGTGATCAAACTGGGCAGGAGGGTTGCAGCTTGCATGGAGGAGATGAGAGGCAGTACTTTTGTGATGGCCAAAGTGACCCGATGACTGGACCCATGAGGGATTTAAAAGTGCTCTTTGATGTAAAGCAGGATTTGAGCTGCAGTGGGAAGGAAGCCAACATCTCATGCACTTTCCATTGTTAATGGGGTGGAGTGGATACTAGAGTAAGGATAACTATAAGACTCTGGTGGTAAACATTGCCCATGTGCTTGCTCTGCGCCAGGTCTGTTCTTAGTGCTTTATGCTTGTTGTCTCACTTCATCTTCTCTGTAATTCTGTGAAGTGGGTACTATCATCCTCATTTTACAGATGAGGAAATAGAGGCTTAGAAAGTCTAAAACTCGCTCAAGGTCACACAGCTGGTGTAGCCTCAGTGGTTTGCTCTTTCGTCTTCCCCAAACACATGAAGCCCAGTGGTTCCAGAAGATGAGGAGAGAACCATTTACCAGAGCTTAGGGGTTAGGAGTTGGGGTAGAGAAATTGAACTAGGTGCAGGCATCCCTTCACTCACCTGTTGTGCCCACTGCAAACACGGGGCCCACACGTCGCCCCTCGTGGAGACCATACAGGTGCATCTTGTACTTGCGCCCGGGCTCCAGGCCCTGCACGGTGACCTCACGTTCCTCATCCCCGACACGCACCACCTGAGGCCGCCCATCTCTGTCCTTGTACTGCACGGTGAAGCCGTCAAAGCGGCCCTGGGGGACGGTCCAGGAGAGGCTCAGCGAGTCTGAGGTGGAGCCTGTCACTGTCAGCTCCCCCAGGAGTGGCTCCTCGGGAGTCTCTGGGGCCTCTGTGGTGGGCTCTGTGGGGGCAGGGGTCTCTTCAATCCTGTCTGAGACAGGAGCTGAAATGGCAAGAGAGGAAACATTTGAGGAATTCACCTATACTATATTCACAGACAAGGAATCCTGGTGGCAAGGTGGGTTAAGCATTGGGCTGGTAACCTTAAGGTTGGGGGATGGGGGTGGGTGGGTGGGAAGAGAGACGAGGTGGTCTTCGCCCATAAAGATTTACAGTCTCTGAAATCGGAAGGAGCAATTCTACAATGTTCTCCATGCATGCTATGAGTTGGTATTGACTCAAGGGCCATGGGTTTGGGTTTGGGTATTTGCAAATAGTGAGGGTGTGGCCTGAGGAGTGGGATGGAAGGGTGAGCACCCTGTGCTCCTCCCTTTCAGCTGCTCCCACCCCTATTTCCAGATCAGGATAGTGGAATGTTTTCCTGCTAAGGCCTATTCTGGTGGCCCTACCCTTCTTGCCCTTTAACCCTAAGGAGTGACTCAGGAAGGGAGGGCTTCAAGGGAAAGTGAGAGAAAGAGCCCTGTTGTCCCTCAGCTGACTCTCTGTGGGCACCACACACCCCTGGCACTGAGTACCATGGAGTGGAGAGAATATGGTGCTTCTCTGTCCATGGAGACTCCTTAGGGGTAGGGAAATGGAGAGGAGCAGCAGGGGAGAGTGATAACTCAGGGAAGGGTGGGAAGGATAGAGAAAGGTGAGCAGAAAAATGTTTACTGGGCAGTGAGATCAGGGGCCAATAACAGCTCATACTTAAATAGCAGTTTCAATGTGCCTGATGCTGTTTGTAGATTAATTATTTAATCCTAGCTACTCTATGAAATCATTACCATCATTATCCTCAGATGAGAAAGCTGAGGCACAGGGATTGTAAAGAACTTGCACACGATGCCATAGCTGGGATTAAAATCTAGGCAGTTGGCTCCAGAGATCGTACAATGCTATACTAACTCCCTCTTGGCAAGGAGGGCCACAGACACAGCACAGGACAGGGAGAGGAGGGGACATGGACGAATGGGCTAGGGTGCTAGGCTGGAAATGAGTAGCCAGTGGGGGGCTGGCAGAGCCCTTTATGTGGCTCCAAACTGTGTGGGAGACAGGCAGTCGGGTGGGAGAGGAGTTCTCTTCACCCTGAAAAGAGGTGGAGGGAAAGGTACTCTTGTCCCCACACTTGGTCAGCTCTGAACTCAGCAGCAGTGGGAGGAGTGGGGAGGAGCCGGCCACGGAGGCTCAGAAATGAGCATGGTAGAGGATGAAGCCCAGCAAAAACCATGGGGTGGGAAGATGGCTGTTGAGTTATGAGGATGTCTGTGGGGAGGATCACCTGTGGTAGAGGAAAGACTCCCTGAAAGACAGAGAAGCAGGGCTGGGAAGGGAATTAGAGGTTGGAGATAGCCAGAGGTTGGATGAGGAGTCTTGGATCTGGCGGGTGCAAGAGCAGTGAATGGGAGGCTTTAGCAGAGTCAGAGCGGAGGAGGAGAAGGTGGAGGGAGGCCCTAAGGTGCCCTGAGCCTGAGAATGCTAGCCTTGGAACTGGAGGCTAGCAGGAGAGGCCCCTGGGGGCTCTGACTCACCTGTCATGGCCACCACAGACACGGGTCCCACACGCTGACGGCCCTGAAGCCCATAGAGGTTCATCTTATACTTCCGCTCAGGTTCCAGCCCAGAGATGGCGAGCTCATTCTTGTCCCCACTGACAGGCACTGCCTGGGGCTGCCCCTGAGCATCCTTGTACTGGATTACAAAGGAGTCAAAGGGACCCTGGGCCACCGTCCAGGACAGGCGCAGGGTGTCTGGGGTCATGCCGGTCACTGTCAGCTCCCCCAGGAGGGGTTGCTTGGGGGACTCTGGGTGGGCGTGCTCCTCTTTCCTTTCTGGGGCTGTAAAAAGAAGAGCCAGTGAGAGCTGAACTAGTCCAGGTTGGGGCTTAGAGTTTGGACTACAAGGCACAGCTGAGGGGGAATCACAGTTTGACGCTACGAATGCTAAACTCCTGGACAGTCTGACATAGCCAGTGTGTAGCACACCTTGTAGGTCTTGGGGAGTAGCTGAATGGGATGGAAGGGGCCCAACAAGCAGGGGAGTCTGGCGGGCCCCTCAGCCCCAGAGTAGAGCCAGGATACCCATTAGTAGTCTGGGTGGGAGGCCCAGCTGATGGAAGGCAAGTGTGCACAAGGCCGGGAGGGACAGACACAGGGGCTTGGGTGGCTGCCACTCACCTGTGGTGCCATCAGCCGTGAGGGGGCCATGCCGCTTCCTGTTAGCAATCCCGAATAGAGTGAATCTGTACTTGTGGTCAGAGTCCAGGGGGGAGACAATGACTGAGCGCTCAGGCCCTTCCACTGGTACCACCTGGGGCCGTCCATCCCTGTCCCTGTACTGGACCAGGAAGGAGTCGAACTGGCCTTCAGGGACTGTCCACGAAAGGCGCAGCGAGTCTGGAGTAGGATCTGTCACCCACAGCTTTCCCAGGCGGGGCAGGGTCCCTGGGCTGGGATCACTCCAAGGCACTAGGAGGAGGGGTAAAGAAACGGAGGGGGTATAAGTTATAGGAGAAGGTAAAGTGCACCTCCCCTGCAGGGTTGCTATGTGAGGTTGTGCAAGTTGTTCACAAAGTTATGTAGTTGAAGGAGCAAGTGGGGATTAAAACTCAGCGGGTGCCCGGTTTGCCAAGTCATGTGCCCTGTGAGGGGCTGGGTCCAACTATAAGAAGGAACACCTTCTTCTAAATGACACAAAAGCATTGTATGGACTAGTGTGACAGCCCTGAGAAAGGAGGCCGGGCCAGGCTTTTTCACATCTCCCCAGGCAGGGAACCCTTCAATATACCCTCCACTGCTTCTAGGCTCAGATACTACTTGGTTTCTCCTCCAAGAAAGGGAAGCACACTCCTTGGAGCATTTTAACGTGGAACAGCCTCCCACACCTGGGCTCCAGATCCCTCCTCCTCTTCCTGGGAATGTCTATGCATGATGACCCTGGCTGGACCACCAACATTGAAACCTGTTCCTATCCTCCTCTGTGCTGGGTACAACTCCTCTAGTCCCTGCCCTCCCTCTGCTCTCTAGTCCCAGCCCAGATTCCAGAAAGATATGTTGTAACTATGTCCTCACTTCCATCACTCACCCCAGCCTTGCCGACACTGGGCCTCCAGCCGCACCCCTCCAGCGAGACTGCTCTCAGTGGGGGTCAATGGTGACCTGGACATTGCTAAGTCCTGTGGACACTGTAGCCCCTGAATCACCCTTATGGAATCTGGCATGTCTGACCGCACCCTCTGTCTGGGAGGCCAGGACACCATTCTCCTGGCTTTGCCTCTCCTGAGGTCACCCCCTCATCCTACCGCATGCCACGGCCTGCTCTACGGGTTCTCCTTCCTCTGCTCCTCCCTGAGTGTTGGTGTTCCTCAGGACTCCACGGCCCTGCCTCTTCTCCTCTTGAAACCTTCACTGTGGTCTCAGCATCTATCCCCTATCTTCAGGCCTTTTCTCTGGGTTCCCCACCACTTTCTGCCACCTTGCCTTTCCTGTGCCTCAGTTTTCCTCATCTATCAAACAGGATGAGTCATCGGGCTGCTGTCAGAATCTGTGGTGTGATACACTTGGAACATCTTGAGTACATTTGACACTCAACACTCAAAAGATGTTTATCTATGTCCCAAAGGCCCCTCAAATTGCTCCACCTCTGCTGCTTTCTGCCTCTGGAGGCAGACAGTCTGAACCAGAAATCTGGAGTTTACCTGGGTGTCCCTGCTCTTTACCGGTTCCCTTCCTTCACCTCCCACATCTAGCCCACTGCCACCATCCCAGCCAGGCCACTAGCATTTCTCACTTAACTCACGTCTCTAGACATCCTCAGCACTCATTGCGGTGCTGGTCGCAAATGAAATGTCTGGTCACGTTGCTAAAAGCCCTTCCGAGGCCATCTTTGGCCATTACTGAGACCTGAGGCCCTCAGCCTGACACACAGGCCCTGAGATCAGGTCCCTTGTTTCCCCACATGCTCTGCTTTCATAAGGGTCACACTTCTCTCCTGTCTTGTCTGTCACAGATCCATCTTCATTGCTCTCTGCCTGCATAATTACTAATTTCCCTTCAGGATTTAGCTCAGGCACTACCTCTCCCAGGAAGCCTTCCTGGAGCTCCCAAAGTGGACTCCCAGAGCGCTGGAAGAGCCTCCTCTAGAACAGTATGGAGGGCGGGGCTACTCACCAGTCTTGGCCTCAGCGACCAGTGGGCCATGCCGCTTCTTGTTGACGAGTCCATACAAGACAAATTTGTACTTTCGGCCAGGTTCCAAGGAGGTGATAGGAAATGAGCGCTGTGGCCCCTCCACAGGTACCACCCGCTGCCTGTCCCTGTCCTTGTACTGGATCACAAAGGACTCAAAATTGCCCTGGGGGACCGTCCAATGCAGGAGCAGCGAGTTGGGAGTCACATCTGTCACAGTCAGCTCACCCAGGCGTGGCTGGACCAAGGACAGATCAGGTTTCTCTCCATCCCTGTCTGGGGTGTGAAGGACAGAGCAAAGCAAGTGAACTCCACCATTCCCTTGCCTCCTTTTCTCCCTTCCTTTCTGCCCACCAGCTCATTTCACCCTGGACAGCTCCCTCCCTAGAAGCTGGCATTTCCCTCACTTCTCAGACCTCTATGAGGAGCCCTTTTGGTAAAGGGAGCATTTCCTCCTCCATCTCTTTTCCCAATTGGGGCTTCAGTCCTTTCCTTCCAACAGCTTCCCCACCCTCTTACAAAGGATCTTTGGGGGAGTTTTAATTCCCCAAGTTTCTGCCTAAGAGTTTCAAGACTCCCCACTACTGTTTTAAGAGCAGTGGGAAGGCGCCTCAGCCCACCTCTCTCCCTGTTGCCCTCTCCCCCAAGAGCTTCACTTGGAGTTGAAGAGAGAGCCAGCTATCCTGAGCCCCACAAAGAGGGAAAAGGAGGGGATGTGAACCCCAGGTTTTGTCCTTCACTGGGCCCCCAAACCTCATCCATCCCTGAAATTCTGACAGCTCTGGAACCCCTATCTCCTACAGAATTGTCTGATGGGACCATGGGTGCTATCTACTTCAGGCCAAGCTCCCAGGGTTGGGGAGCAGAGCCATCCTAGCCTGTCCAGTGTGGGGTGACAGAGACTGTAGGGCAAGAGGGGGAAGAAGGGGACTGAGAGTCAGAATCCTCAGAGCCAGAGGCTTCCCACTCCCACCCTGAGTGGCCTATTGGGGCAGCAGGGCAGGGCAGAGACATCAGGAAATGAGGGAAGGACAAGAGGCAAATAGTGCAGGTTTTCTCCCTGAATCGCTGTCCCATCCTCTGACATTTGTCCTCTTCCCTAAACCCCTCCACCCTACTCTCCTTGGAAGCCTCATACCCCTTTCTCGCTACTCAGCCCACAGTCAGCCCTGTTTTTCACTGGTTTCTCAAACTCCAGCCCACTTGTCCTAATGGCTGACCCTGGCCCCTCCCCCAACTTCAGGATCCTGGTCTGAGTAGAGTCCAGGATGTACCCATAATGCCTTGGTAGATGAGGGGGGCAGAGGGCTGACCCCCAGGGTGGATCCCATGAAGCAACAGCTCGTAGGGGGCTCCAGGAGGAGGTGGGGGCACCAGGGCCTGGCGAATGTCCCCTGGAAGCAGCTCCTCATGATTTCCCAGCCCCTGGGGCACCCGAAGGTGCAGCTGGAATTGGGCAAAGATGTCAGGTTGAGCCGTCCAGGTCACTCGGAGGCGCCCTGTCTCATCTCTGCCCAGCACCCTCAACTCTGCCAGTTCCTGGGGGCGCTGCTGCAGGTTGGGGGCCCGGGCCCCTTGAGTCGTTGAGGGGCCTGAGGGAGGAGGTTCATCAGTGGCCCCCAAGAGGCCTGAAGGGGAGGACCCTGGGAAGGGGCAGGCAAGAAAAACAGGAAGTCGGAGTATGAGAGCCAGAAAGGAATCCCCAGCCCCCAGGTCTGCCCTGTAGCCTCTAAGAGCCTGGAGACCCTTCTGGGTCTACCATCTGTCAGCCCATCCTCCCAAAGGCCTCCCAGTCATCCAAACTCCCCCGTCTACTACTACCACAGTCCTGAGCAGACAGGCTTTTGCTTAGGACAAGTTATAAAGGAATGCCCTCTCCCCGTCTCCTGTGACCACCATGTCCTCCCCACACATATCCCCCTCCCCACTGGGTGGTGGTCGTGGCTTCCATTAGTGCTGCAGTGAGAAGCCTGGAAGAAAGGAGGAGACAGTGGTGTTATGGAGGGCGGAAGCAAGAGGAGAGCTGGCCATGAGAAGAAATAGAGGGCATGGGGGCTGGAGGGGTGGTGGACGTCCAGCTCAGGAGGCATCTGGGCCCTATAAAGGAAGAAGAAGCCCACAACCCTCCCCACCCAGCCACAGAGCAGCTCCCTGCAACCACCTCCAGCCCAGCCCAAGATCATTCCTGTGGGAGAGAGGCGTGTGAAGTGAGCCAGGGGGTCTGGAAAGAAGCAGTGGTTTCATCACCCCACATACACATGCTGCCTGGTGGCTTCAAGACCATCCCCAAGCAGTTCTGATTCATCCCTTGGAGGTCAAAGCCAAATTGTGGAAAATGGCAACCACTGACCATGGTCATCTGCAAATCTCACCACCGTGAATCAGAGGAACCACTGGTTTCACACCCTGTCCCACCCAAATGGTCAAGGGAATCTTTGCAGCATCCCTCAGTCCCCCCGCCCCCCCCCCCCCACACACACACAATCCTCGTCTTCTATTGCCTAGGACAGCAATCCTAGAGAAAGTGTCCTGGGAACCCTAGTGCGCATCAGGAAGTCCCAAGGGCTGGGTCTCCTTGGCCTTGGGTGTATAGTATGGTACCAAGACGAGGTTGAGGGTGGCTTCTAGGGACACAGGAAAGCATGCGTTGTTGCAGGGTCCCCTGGAGCCTGACTCATGTAGGAGCTGAATGCAGAAGGGTGTGGTGAGGGTGCTAGTGTGAGCAGCGAGGTAGTGGGAGGAACTCAAAGATGCGGTCTCCAAAGGCAGGTGAGGCCAGGCAGGGGATGGGTGACCTCGTGGTTCCAACCCACGCTACCTGTGGTGGTGATGAAGGCGTAGGACTTGGAAGTCTGCCCCGCCCGCACCCCATGGACCTCCACGTGGTAGGTGGTGCCTGGCCTCAGGTCCGGGAGGCTGACAGCGCGCTTGCTGCCGGACACGGTCAGCTCCCCGCTGGGGCCCTCCGCAGGGGGCTGGGGCCACCAGCGCAGCACCACGCTCTCGAACTGGCCGCGGAGACCATCAAGGGACACCAGGAGAGAGCCGTCGGCGGAAGTGCCCAGCACCTCGGGCTTGGGGTGGCGGGACGCAGCCACCGGGTCGACGCTGTCGTAGCTGCTCCGGCTGGACTCCCTCTTCCTGTTACTCTGGTCGGGGCTGATGGTGGGGTGGGGGCGGTGGGGCTGAGCTGCGGGGGAGCCGGCGGGGGCGGCGGTCGCCTGATGCCGCTGCAAGTAAGCGTAGATGTAGCGAGCCACCGACGCGTAGGTCTGGTTGGCTCGCAGCGGGTAGCTGTGCGCCCTCAGGTGGCGCTCCACATCCTCCACCGTGCCGCCGTAGCGGCCCAGCTCTGCGGTCAGGTTGCCCCAAGCCCGCCGCGGAGGTTGGGACAGGCTCTGCCCAGGTCGGGACTCCTCCCCCTCCTCCTCTTTGGCTGGCCGCGCGGGCCGGGGAGGTCGCCGGGGCCGCGGGGTCGGCCGGGGGCGGGGCTTGGGGGGCGGGGCTGGAGGGTGCACCTCCTTGTAATCGTAGTGGCCTGGTGCTGCCGGGGGGCGGAAAAAGGGGGAGGGGAGAGAGCAGGTCAGTGATAGCACCCCGTCTTTCTTCCCACGGCAACCCCTTCCTCCATCCCTCCCACTGGAACCAAAGACCTCTTCCCTCGGTCCCAGCCCCACCTGCAAAGAGAACCGAGAGAAAGAAGTCAGTGTCCTGAGACCCCACCTCCTTTCCGCCCCCATGCCCGCCACTGTTGATGGCCTAGAAAGAAGAAAGCCAGCGGGTGGAGCCCTGGGTCTGAAGGAGAGAAAAGGGAGTGGGAGAGATGATGATAGGCACTGTGAGGTGGGCGTCCCCCTGTCACGGGAAAAGACAAGAAAGATCCGGGTATCTGTTAAGAAACCTTGAGAGTTAGTGGGAAATGACTGCCGTGAGACAACTCCCCACACTAAATCTGAAAGTTAAAAAGATTACTGCTCTCACATCTACCCAATTCCAGTCCCTACAAAATCTGACCTCGGACTCTCAGCATAAGCACTAGGCTTGTATGTAAGTTTGGATAAGACCATTCCCCACAGGGTGGTGGAGACTGCATCTCAACTGATACCCACTCCTGTTTACTGTTTCTCTCTATGGAACAGTTCTTCCCACGATCTAACTTGCAGTCTTCCTACAGGATTCAAGCACCTGACATCTTCACCTCCCCACTGCTCTCTGTACAGAGCAAGGCCCCAGCAAGTACTTTGGGGCTGCCACATAACCCACAAAGTCTACAGAAGGGTCTCTGAGCCCCAGACTTGGTCTGCCAAAAAGCTTTTGTCCTCTAAAACTGGGGTCCTTTAGTATATCCTGACCGGCCATACCTGTGTTGGCTCTGACAGAAGATGGGTAGCTGACCGCCCGGCCCCGTTCCGCAGTGACAGTCACAACATATTCCACTCCTGGCATCAAGTCTGTCAGCAGCGTTCCATCTGCCTTAGGGGGCACTTCCAGACGAACCCTCTGGTTGCCGGCACTAACATAGGACACCACGAAGCGGTCCACTTCAGCCAGCGGGCGCAGCCAGCTGAGTTCCAGTGTTTTTGGCGTCACAGCTACCACTCTGAGGTCCTGGGGGCCGTCGATCACTAGCAGGGTTAGAGAAAGGAGGGTTCAGGCAAGAGTCTTGCCTCCACTTAGGCCCTCCCATCTGCTCTGTCAAGCCCAGACCTCCCCGCAGGACCCTGACCCGAAGCCCCGGCTCTCACTGGTGGTAATGGTCTTGGAGGCAGGAGGGCCCCAACTGGTCCCTCGAAGGGCACGGACAGTGACCTGGTACTCCTGGCCAGGAGCCAGTCCTCTCTGGTCATAGGCTGAAGCAGAGCTGGGCACCCGTGCTGTGAATGGAGGACTTGCCCCCTCTGTCTGCAAGAGAAAGAGCCCAAGACAATCAGAGGCTGGCGCTCCCACACTCTTATCTCTTTTTTTTTTTTCAATTCTAAGCAGAGTCAGCATTAAACTGTAGAACTTAGCCCTATGCAAACTGAGTAACATGGGTTGTTGTTGTTGTGAAGTGCCTTCGAGTTGGTTCTGACCCATAGCAACCCTGTATAGGGTTTCCCAGGAGCAGCCAGTGAGCGTCAACTGCCGACTTTGCAGTTCAAATGGCTTTGCAGTGTGGCGCATTAACCCACAGCTCCACACCAGGACTCTGGGGGAACATGGGTAGCGACAGCAAAAATGTCTAGAGTACATGCCGTTTGTCAGGTTCTGTTCTAGGCAATTTGCATGTATGAACTCACTTAATCCTCACAGTAACCCTATGAGGCAGGTCCTCTGAGTCCTATTTTCCAGTTGAGGAGAAACTGAGGCACAGAAGGATAAGTACCTTGCCTAAGGTCATCAGCTTCAAGGAAGCGGCAGGGATTTAAACCTAAGCAATGTGACTGATAGACTACTCAACTGTCTGTTTGCCATACTGTGATGGCTTATGTGTTGCTGTGATGCTGAAAGCTATGTCAACGTATTTTAAATAGCATCAGGGTCACTCATGGTGGGCTGCTTTCAGCAGAGCTTAAGAGGCAGACCACTTCTGGAGTTAGCCATGGAAAATCTTATGAATGGCAGAAGAATATTCTCTGATAAAGTGCTAGAAGATGAGTCCCTCAGGTTGGAAGGCATTCAAAATCTGACTGGAAGGGGTGTCTCCTCAAAACATAGTTGATTTTAATGTCAATGGAGCAAAGCTCACAGGACCTTCATTTGCTGATGGGGTGCACCTCAAAATGATAACAGCTGCAAAGATCTATTAATAATCAGAATATGGAATGTATGAAGTATGAATCTAGGAATATTGGAAGTTGTCAAAAATGAAATGGAATGCATAAAGATCGATATTCTAGGCAGCAGTGAGCTGATATGGTCTGGTAGTGGCCATTTTGAATCAGACAGTCACATGGTTTACTATGCTGGGAACGACAAACTGCAGAGGAATGGTGTCACATTCATTGCCCAAAAGAGCATCTTAGGATATATCTTAGAGTACAATGCTGTCTGTGATAGGATAATATCCATATGAATACAAGGAAGACCAGTTAATACTACTATTATTCAAATTTACACACCAGCCACTAAAGACTTTGATGAGGAAACTGAAGAATTCTTCTAACTTCTTCAGTCTGAAATTGATCATGTTGCAATCAAGATGCATTGATAATTACTGGTGATTGGAATTCAAAAGTTGGAAACAAAGAGGAAGGATCAGTACTTGGAAAATATGCCCTCAATGATAGAAATGATGCTGGAGATTACACGATAGAACTTTATAAGACCCATATCTTATTACTTGCAAATACCTTTTTTCAACAACATTAAGTAGCTACTATACATATGGACCTCACCAGATGGAATCCAGAGGAATCAAATTTACTGTGATTGGAAGAAATGATGAAGAGCTAAACAGAAAGTTTCTAAGGGAAGCTCAAAAAGACTATAGTATTATAATGAAACATGCAAAGACCTGGAGTTAGGAATCTAAAAGGGAAGAATACGCTCAGCATTTTTCAAACTGAAAGGAATAAATAAAAAATTCAAGCCTCAACTTGCAATATTAAAATATTCTAGAGGCAAAATGGAGTCCTGGTGTGGTACTGTGGGTTAATGCGCTGGATTGCAAAATCGGTTTGAACCACTAGGTTGGTGGTTCAAGCTCACCAGATGCTCCTCGGAAACCCTATACAGGGTTGCTATGGGTTGGAACCAACTCGATGGCACTTAACAACAAAAACAAGATAGGCAAAATATTAAATGATGCAGGAAACATCAAGTAAAGATGGAAAGAATACACAGAGTCACCATACCAAAAAGAATTTGTTGATGCTTAACCATTTCAAGAGATAGCATGTGATGAAAACCAGTGATATTAAGTGAAAAAGTCCAAGCTACACTGAAGGCATTGGCAAAAAACAAGGCTCTAGGTCTTGATGTTGAAATAGTTCAACAAATTGCCACAGCACTTGAAGCACTCGCTCGCCTGTGCCAAGAAATGTGGAAGTCAGCTACCTGGCCAACTAACTGAAAGAGATTCATATTTGTGCTCATGACAAAGAAAGATGATCCAATGGAATGCAGAGGTCACTGAACAATATTATTAATAGCACATGCAAGTAAAAAATTTGCTGAAGATAATTTAGAAAGGGTTGTAGCAGTACATAGACAAGGAACTGCCAGAAATTCAAACCGAATTCACAACAGGATGTAGAATGAGGGATATCATTGCTGTCAGATGGATTTGACTGAAAACAGAGGATATCAGAAAGATGTTGACTTATGCTTTATTAACTATGTAAAGGCATTCAACTGTGTGGATCATAACTATGGACAATATTGTGAAGAGTGGGAATGCCAGCCCAGGTAACTGTGCTCATGAGGATCCTGTACACACACCAACAGATAGTTGTTCAAACAGAACAAGGGATACAGAATGGTTTAAAATCAAGAAAGGGTTGTATCCTTTCACCATACTTATTCAATCTGTATGCTGAGCAAATAATCTGAGAAGCAAGGTTATATGAAGAAGAATGTGGCATCAGGATTGGAGGAAGACTCATTAACAACCTGCAATATGTAGATGACAGAACCTTGTTTGCTGGAAGGGAAAGGGACTTCAAATACTTAGGAGAAGACCGAAGACTACAGCCTAAAATCCTCACAACTGGGACAATAAATAACATCATGACAAACATTGTCATGAGAAAAGACTGAAGTTGTCAAAGACTCCATTTTGCTTGGATCCAGAATCAACATTCATGGAAGCGTCAGTCAAGAAATCAAATGACATATTGCACCATGCAAATATGCTGCAAAAGACCTCTCTAAAGTGTTAAAGAGCAAAGATTTCACTTTGAGGACTAAGGTGTGCCCCACCCAAGTCATAGTATTTCCTATCACCTCATATGTATTTGAAAGTTGGACAATGAATAAGGAAGAATGTAAAAGAATAAATACATTTGAATTATGGTGTTGGAGAAGAATATTCAAAGTACCATGGACTGCCAGAAGAACAAACAAATCTGTCTTGGAAAAAGTATAGTCAGAATGTTCCTTATAATTGAAGATGGCGAGACTCATAGTTTGGACATGTTGTCAGGAGGGACCAGTCCCTGGAGAAGGACATCATGCTTGAGAGCAGGGTCTGTGCTCAGGGTGCATGAGGATGGAGATGGTCACACCTCTGGTCACCAGGGAAGCTTTGGGAAAAAGAAGAAATTGCCCCTTTTCCGACACACATGCAAAACTGCTCTGCCAGGCCTCCCTCAGTTGCCAAAGCTGCTCACAAGATGGTGGAACCGAGTCTGGCCAGCCATTCACCAGTCAGTCTTCTCCCTCTCTTGCAGCCTCAGCCTTTCCTCCCAGCAAGCACTTCATCCACCTCTCTAAACTTCCTTCTGAAGTTGAGGGTGCCAGAATTTTCATCTGTGTCTGTTTTATTTTGTCTCACATCTTTGTTGTAAAGGGTCCATGTCGTGCATCTGCCTAGCCTCCATCTTTCCGGAAGTGCCTCTCTGTTACATGTATATTTACCACAAAAAAAAAAAAAAAAACTGCTTAAAAAAAAAAAAAAAAAGGTATTGGCCCTATATCAAGTAGTTCATACTCTAGCTGCTAAAAAAGTATGGCCACTTTTGTGTTCTAGACCCCTACACAAATCTCTAAGGAGTCCTGATGATACAATGATTAACAGACTTGACAAGCTTTTCTCCGAAAGACTCAGCAGGAAATTGTTGTTGTGTGGCATGTAGTGGATTCTTACTCACAGTGACTCTATAGGACAGAGTAGAACTGCCCCACAGGGTCTCTGAGGCTATAATCTTTACAAAAGTAGACTGCCACACTTTTTTTCCCATGGAGGGGCAGATGGGTTTGAACCAGAGTCACCATCCTAGGAAACCCTATGGGATAGTTGTACTCTATCATATAGGGTCACATGAATCAAAATGGACTCAATGGCACAAACAACAACACAAATCTCTCTGAACAGTAAATACCTATGAGAGAACAGCTCTTCTTCAAATCGCCATTTAAGGTGTTGTAACGAAACGAGCTCTGGTAGCGTAGTGGTTACGATTTGGGCTGTGAACTGCAAGGTCAGCAGTTCAAAACTACCAGCTGCTCCTTGGGAGAAAGATGAGGCTTTCAGGGGACTCTGCAGGAAATCTGCCAGGTACCTGCTCTAGGCATGGTCTCCTAGAGTGTATGCTGTCAGGGAACTAGGAGGAACTTCACATATGGCCGCATTCTAACAGTCCCACCATTTGTTGGGGCTATTATGTTCTGCTGAGTTATGTTGGCAATGATGGGGATATCTCCATTCAGCCAAGTAGAATTGGAATCAAAAGGTACTCTCCTAAACCAGTAGAACTGAAGGAAAATCAATGCAGTAAATAACAAAGTATAAAACCAGATGAGGAGGCCACATAGCAATTTCTGGGTTGAGGATGAAATAAAGCTTTGCCAGAGTTTTCTCGGCTGAAAAGATTTCTTGGGCACACAGCGCACTCTTTCCTATGGCTCCTGCTCTAGTGCATCTCAGCTGAGGGAAGCCTTGGGTTGATCTCAACTCAAGACCCATGAAATCGTCATCTTTCCCAGAAGATGGCTGAACATAAGTTCAATAAGTTGCTCATTCTCTCTCTCCTTACTCCCCTAACTCCACCCCCCCCAATACACACACTCACCTTGGGAGTTCCCTGATGAACTTCAGTCCTTTTAGGGAGACAAGCCCATCCCCAGAGTTCCCCTCCTTCCTTCTAATCAACATATAAGAACACTTTGATCACTGGGTCCCTCCTGCAATCCACTTGAGGATAGGCCCTGGAAATTAGGAGGAAGCCCACCTCCTGTCTCCCAGCACTGTCTAGCTTGTCTGAGGTGGCTTTCTCTAGCCAGCTGCTGGCAGTTGACTCTACCCCTGGGTTATAAGGCTTGGCTGCTTCACCTATTATTCCTGGCAAATTTCTAACCCTAATCATTGTCAACCTTGTGGTCCCAGATGGAAGACTCCATCTTGGCTGGTCCCTGGAGCTTACCTCACCCTCTTCTCCCTTTTCAGACCAGATCCAAACAAAACCTTTTCTGAAGCTGTAAGGTCTTGGGTCTCAATGAAAACTTGGCAAAACCCTGGTTTTCAGTCTGCAAAATATGCCCAGATAGGGAATATGTGAACCTCTTCCTGGTTCAGAGTCATGCCTCCCCAGTTTTCCCATTTTCTCTCACATTCACAGAGGAGCCAGCCTTTTATGAAAGAGTATTAGTCCTGATATGGAGCTGTGGATAATGTGCTAGACAGCAAGATCGGTTTGAACCACAAGGTCAGTGGTTCACACTCTCCAGCCGCTCCTTGGAAACCTTATACAGGGTCGCTATGAGTCAGATCTGACTTGATGGCACTTAACAACAACAATATTCCTTAAGAGAGTGATCCTCAGGCTTGAGGTTGTGTGTCAACTTGACTGGGGCAGGATTCTCAGTGGATTGGCAGGTGAGATGTAGTAATTCCCCATAATGTGATTTATGTTATAAACCTTGAATCCCACTACCTCCCTGATTCAATCTGGGATCATGCCAAGAATGTGACATGCAACACCTTTTATTTTACAAGAGATTCAAAGAGATAGACTTGAGCAGAGAGAAAGGGACCTATTACCACCAAAAGAGAAGAGCCAGAAGTGGCATGTCCCTGGGGTCTCTGAGCTGTGAAGAGCCCAGATCCTGGGGAAGACTGAAGCCAAGTTATATGAAGATCTCCAAGGAATCCTGGGGCCACTGATGCTGAAAGGAGTCAAGGACCTTCCCCCAGAGCCAACAAAGACAGAGCTATCCCCAAGAGCCAGCATTCTGACTTTAGATCTCTAGTCTCCTGAACAGTGAAAGAATGAATTTCTGGTTGTGGTATTTCTGTTATAGCTTCATTAGAAATTTAAGACAAGGTGTGTCTGAATCACTTGGAGGATGAGGTACAACAAAGGTTACTGGACTCGATTCCCAGAGCTTCCAGTTCAATAGATGTGGGAGTGGGGCCTGAGAATTTGCATTTCCAACTAGCTCCCAAGGTGATGTTGATACTGTAGATCCAAGGAAACACTTTGAGAACCACTGAATCAGAGCCACAATGCCACATATGCAGAGAAAGGAGGAACATTCCTCGTTTGTGTTTTGAAAATAATCCCAATAACTAGATGTGTCTCTTGCCAGGAATAGCAGAGTTTGGGCTTTGAGAGAGAAGGACTTTTAGAAAGGAGGCAGGGTTAAATAGAGGCAGGCTTCTAGGAAGATGGCAGTGACCACAGAAAAGCCAGCTACTGAATATTTTCCATGCCAACAGAAATGGACAGAGAACAATGGTTAAGGCAAAAGGCACAATTCCAGAGAGCTAATCATAGCGTATAGGTTAATGTGGAGTCCAAGAGAGGTGTCTGGGGACCAATTTTACAAAAGCATCTTCCACACCCACACTCAGAGAGGACCCAGAATGAGATAAAGGCCCAGACCCAGAGCAGAGCAGAGCAGATGTGCTGAGCGCATGAGTAAGTCACAAGCCAAGTCAGAGCTCCAGTGGGTTGAAGCCAGGCCCCCATCCTGGGAAGCTGCACTCCTTGAGAAAACTCAAGGCTGGATCTGCATTTACTCAGAGCAACAGATAGGCTTGACCTACAAGCTCCTCCTCTCTCAAGTGTTTATTTGCATTCTTCTTTCCCTGCAGTGTCTTAGGAAAGTTCCTTTCTCCAAATCCTAGTCTTTAAGTTTGTTGTTGTGATTAAGGGTCTTGGAGTTGGTTTCAGCTCATAGCAACGCTGTATAGGGTTTTCAAGGAGCATCTGGTGGAATTAAACTGGAGTGTCACACCAAAAGTTTCTTTTCCCTCCTTTAAGTTTAGAACTAGGTAAATAATATACACAGAAGAAGAGAGTGTGAGAAACACTTAAAAATGCTAGCAGTGATTATCTGAGTGTGAAAGTAGTCAAGAATTATTTGTTTTTCTTTTCTTTAGTTGCCAAATTTTTGTCTCATGATTAAACTATTTTTATAACCAGAAAAAAATAAAACAGTAATTTTTAAACAGAAGAAAAAAGTCAAGCTATCTTGTTTGCAACATAAAGTAGGGATTTCTACCAGAACACTGAAAGAGTGACTGTGCTAGGGGTCTGGCCTGGGGGTATAAGAAGAAGATTTAGGATGACTAGGCAGGGGTGAAGTAGGGATGACAGCCAACATCTCTGGGCTGTCCCTTCTCAGGCGCTGGGCCTGCTGGGCCCGGGGAGTTATTTACTTTTCCAGAGTCCTCATCTAAAGATGAGGGTGACGTGGCCCATCCCCCTAGCACTTGAGTCTGGAAAACATGAGTTGGATGGTAGAAATGTCAGATGATTTGGAGCCAAGAGAACAGCTACATTCTAAAAAGCCCAGTAATGAGAGGTTTCTAATGAGAGACCACAGGCTTTGCTGTTGTTGTTGTTAAGTACTCACTGTGGAATCGGTTCCCCTAAAACATTTTAAGAGCAACTTGAAGAAAAACAACAAAGAAAGGACACTTTACAATACGCTGATGATGTGGAGGAGAAGAACCAGTTCACAGAACTCAAAGTGATTGTAACAGCTAGGCAATCTGGCCTAAACCAATAATGATAACATTTGACAGAGCTAAATGCAAAAGTCCATATTTAGGCTTTTAAAAAACTGTATATAGTTAGTTGAATGTTGTCTTTTCTTCCTTCCTTTTTCCTTGTTTATCTATATTTTCTAAAATTTCTATAATGTGTCTATATGACTTGTATAATAAAAAAAATAAACTCAAAAAAAAAAAAATCACTGACAATCAGTGTGGACTCAAGTCAATATACACCAACTCTGAACAAAGTGCCATCATACGCAGCTTTATCCAGGCAATGGAGTGGGCCACTTTCTGCCTCCACATTTTGGGAGGCACACACATGAAAAAACAGGAGCCACTAGAGACGGGAACCCAGAAAGGTGAAGAATTTTGAGAACATACTTAGAAGAAAGGGGTGAAGAGACCAATGGGTTTTCCTTAAGAGAAGACTGAATCTGGAGGTGATGGCTAGTATCTCCTAATGCTTGAAGGCATGTGGGGCTATGGTGTGGAAGGCAAAGCACACAGACAGCCCAGTTGCTGGTGAAGGCCCTACAGATCTGGATTGGACAATAATAAAAAAGAAGCAGCAGCTTCTACTGGAGAGCCTCAAGAAGTACTGACTGAGCTTACACCATCAAAGAGGCATCCCAGCAGAACTGGGCCAGTGCTTGCCTGAGATGCTGCAGAGGCTTTCTGCAATGTAGGCAGGGCATGATGAGAAGGTCTTTCCAGCAGCTTCTGGAAGCCAGCGATCTGGACTCGCGATCTGGACTCAAGTACTAATTACCTGCAACTTGTTGCATGGGGTGAGCATAGGCCCCTGGTCCTTCTACTTAGCCCTCTCCTGGAGCTTGGCATCCCACTCACCATGGGGGTGAATTGAATTTCATAGGCATCCACAGGGCCAGCAGCTGGTGTCCACTCTGTCCGAACAGTTGTCTCTTCCAGGAGATGCATCCTCATGCCATCGATAGCTGGCACCTCTGCCCAAGACAAGGGGTAAGAGAAGCTGATTAGATGCAAGCAGCCACCTCCCACCCCAGCATCAGTCCTCTCCCTAGAGCCACATGAAGAGGCCTATGGGGACTCCCACTCCTTTCTGGGTTGGAAGAAAGTGACCAGAAGCCTGAGCAGGGGCAGTGGTTCATTCCAACTCTGGCACTACAGGTGCTTGGCTTTCTTCACTGAGGAACATGGTCTCCCTCAAGACAACTGCAGGGGCTGGGACCTCCTCAAGAAGGATCTGAAATCTGGTCCAGACTATTAGCATGCCCCAAGGTTTTGCTGTCCCAGATCATGCTGATTCCTATGACTGCCTCCATCCCCTTTCCCCCAACCTCCAATATATGAACGCCCTGCCCTCTTCCTTCAGGTCCCTTCTGGCTGAGCCTTCCACAGGATCCAGTTCCCGGAAGCCCAGTCCCCTACCAAGAATCTGGCGAAAGCTTACCTTCCCCGCAGTCCTCCCCTGCATAACCGTCCTGGCAGACGCATCTACCGTCCAGACACTCTCCTCGGCCACGGCAGTCCCAGGGGCACGTCTGGATGGCGCAGTCGGGTCCACGGAAGCCCTCCACACACACACACTGGCCCGCCCTGCACAGGGCCCGAGGCCCGCAGCCCCCGGGACAGCCGCTGGAGGGAGGTTCTATCTGCCCGCAGTCCTCACCGCTGTAGCCAGCGTGGCAGACGCACATTCCCTGCACACAGCGCCCGTGGCCCCGGCAGTCGGCCGGGCAGGTACGGGTAGCGCAGGTTGGACCCGTGTAGCCCGAGTCGCACACGCAGCGCCCGTCCTCACAGCGGCCGCGGCGGTTGCAGTTGGCCGGGCAGGTGCGGAGGCTGCAGTCCTCGCCGGCGTAGCCTTCCCAACAGACGCACATGCCATCCTGGCACACACCGCGCTGGCTGCAGTCGCGCGGGCACCGCCTCAAGCCGCAGTCTTCGCCCAAGTAGCCATCGTCACACACGCAGCGACCGTCCTGGCACTGGCCGCGGCCTCGGCAGCCCCCGGGACAGCTGAGCACGCCGCAGTCCTCGCCCTCGTAGCCCGCGTTGCACACACATACGCCATCTTCACAGCGGCCGCGCCCGCGACAATCCCCGGGGCACCGACGGCTGCTGCAGTCGTCGCCCGTGAAGCCCGGGTTGCACACGCAACGGCCGTCCACGCAGCGCCCGCGCCCGCGACAGTCGCCTGGGCAGGCGAGCGTGCCGCAGTCCCGGCCGGTGTACCCGGGCCAGCACACACAGCGGCCATTCTCGCACCGGCCGCGTCCTCGACAGTCCCCGGGACAGCTGCGCACGCCGCAGTCGTCGCCGCTGTAGCCCGCGTTGCACACGCACACGCCGTTCTCGCACCGCCCGCGGCCCCGACAGTCGCGCGGGCAGACGCGCACGCCGCAGTCAGGCCCAGTGTACCCGGGCCAGCACACGCAGCGGCCGTCCTGGCAGTGGCCCCGTTGGTTGCAGTCGCTGGGGCAGCTGCGCACGCCGCAGTCATCCCCGCTGTAACCCGCATGGCAGATGCACTCGCCGTCCTCACAGCGCCCGCGGCCCCGGCAATCGCGCGGGCAGGTCCGCGTACTGCAGTCATCGCCCGTGTACCCTGGCCAGCACACGCAGCGCCCGTCTACGCAGCGGCCGCCTTCGCCACAATCCAGGGGGCAGCCGCGCGAGCCACAGTCCTCGCCCGTGTAGCCGGCGTCGCACACGCAGCGCCCGTTCTCACAGCGGCCCCGCTGGTTGCAGCCCCGAGGGCAGGTGCGCTGACCGCAGTCGTCGCCCGAGAAGCCGGCACGGCACACGCACACGCCTTGCACGCAGCGCCCGCGGCCGTGGCAGTCCCCGGGACAGGAAGGCCAGCTGCAGCTGGGACCAGTGTAGCCGGGGAAGCACACGCAGCGGCCGCGAACACAGCGGCCCTGATCGTTACAGTCTTCCGGGCAGGACGAGGAGGTTGAGGGCGGCGAGGAGGAGGGAGGCACGGTGACGTCGGTGGGGTCCGAGCAGGTGGGCCCGCCCCAGCCTGGCTCGCAGGAACAGGTGCAACGGCTCAGGTCAAACACGCCATGAAGACTGCAGAGACTGCGCACGTCTGTTTGACCTGAGTGCGAGGATGGTGTCAGTCTTTCTGTGGGAGGGCCCCATCAGCCTCATTTCATAATTCTTAGCTTGGGGCTGGTCCCTGTGACCGCCAACGGCCATAGGTGTAGGGTTAAGGGGCTCACATTTAGCACAAGTAGGCTCCCCAAGTTTGTGCCCAAGCTGTTTCCCTCCCCTGTTGTTGTTAAGTGTCTTTTCCAACTCATAGTGACCCTGTGTAGGGTTTGAACTGCCAACCTTGTGGTTCTCAGTCCAGGGCTAATCCTACAGCATCACACCAGGCTAGGGCAAGGAAACCCCAAAAAATATCCCCCACATAGCAACTGGTGACTCTGAACCACCACCTTGCAGTTCATGACTAACCCACAGCACCACCACCCCTTTTCATAATTTATACCGGCGCCCCTACCTCTCCACCTTCCTCTCCTTCTGTGTCCCTTCCTGGGATCACCTGCTCACCTGTACCAGCCTGGGCAGCTGCCGGACAACATCCACCGGTGCACTGTTCCTTAAGCCCCTTCACCAACTCCTCCAGTATCTCCAGTCGGATCTTCAGGGCCTGCACCTCAGAAGCAGGGGCCGGAGGTTCAGTACCTGGGGGGCAGCCGCAGCCAGCTGAAGGGGGCAGGTTAATGCGGTGGGTGAACACCACCTGCTTCTCTCCTCCCTCCATCGTGTGCTCATAAAGCTGAGAGGACGGACTTCTTCCTGTCACTGCTGTGCGACCCCCTGGCTGAGGAGGGGGCCGTGGGGCTGGGAGTGTTGTATTGGACCGTGGAGAGAAGGGGCCTGCTCTGGCTGTGCCCAGCAGCACCAGGAGGGCCAGGCTGGCAGTCAGGGGACAATAGGCTGGCATCATTCAGGAGGCTACAAGGAGAAAAAGCAGGTGTGAGAGTAGCTCAGCAGAGACAAGGTGGACACCACCATGTATGCACACTCACCGACACACCACCAGCCCTAAGTAACCTACTCAACTCACATGTACACATACAAAAAGCCACATTCTGCCAGACCCTGGGCAGATCTGGAGGGCTCTACCTCTTTCTGATGTCATTTTTGTACTATTGATGTTTGTTGCTATCATGTCCATGTTGACTCAAGGTGGTGACCCCACATGTGCAGAGTAGAACTGCTCCACAGGGTTTTTAAGGCTGTGGCCTTTCGGAAGAAGACCATCACACCTGTCTTTGGGGATGTCTCTGATTGGGTTCAGACCACCAACTTTTTATTGTGAATTGTCTGAAAGTTTACAGAGCTGATCATCAGTCTTACTTTCAACAAATCATACTCTTTGTTTCATTCTTCCATGTTAACAGCAGTTATCCCACTTCCTGTAGCTCCTGTTTCTATTCCACCCTCCTTCCCATCCCTTCTCAACTTCGTCCTTAGGTAAATGTTGCCTTTTGATCTTGAATGATTGACCATACCATGGTGAGCAGACCTTACTAGTACTGTTGCTTCCCCTATATACCTATCTACCATGTGGGTGAAAATTGGACCAGAGACCTGAAGAGTGGCCAAGGGCCATAGTTTCAATTCCTCCAGTCTCTTTCTGACCAGTTGTTAAGTGCTGTCCACTTGGTTTTGACTTACAGTGTCCCTGTATAGGGTTTCCGAGGAGCAGCTGGTGAGTTTGAACGGCCGACCTTGCAGTTCAAACTGACCTTGCAGTCCAGCGCATTAACCTGCAGCACCACACCAGTACTCCAGTTGTTATGTGCCATGGAGTTGGTTCCAACTCATAGTGACCCTGCATAGGATTTCCGAGGCTGTAAATCTTTATGGGAGCAGAAAGCCTCATCTTTCTCTCGTGGAACAGCTGGTAGTTTCGAACTGCTGACTGTGAGATTAGCAGCCCGATTTGTTATCACTACGCTACCAGTACTTCAAGTAGGCCCAGTCTTTTTTTGAATTTTGTTCTACATTTTGTCCCACTATATGTGGGACCTTGTAATGTGATCCCTTTCAGAGCAGTTGGTGGTAACCAGGCAGCGTCTAGTTCTTCTGTTCTCAGAGTCTCAGTGATTGATACTCATCTGCTCCATTGGTCCATTGGACTAGTTGATTCTGAGCATCTTCAATTTTCACCACTCTTCTTTCTTCTGCACTTGTAGCTGCACAGAGAAACTTAGATGGCTGCTCTGGAGCTTTTAAGATCCCAGACCTACTCATTAAAGTAGGATGCAGTACATTATCTTTGTGGTCGCCTGAGACTATGGTCCTGAGTCCCCAGGTCCAGCAACTCGATGCCTTACGATATTTGGTGATATCATCATCCCTTGTATGTTCCACCACATTCATAAGAGTGTTTGCAGCAAAGGTAAATACCACTGTACAAATATTCACTTTCAAATCCTTATATATTTGTGGATATACTCCCGCTCTCCCTCCCATACCCATTCAGTCTATGTATCTGTCCATGTATCTACCCGCAGAACACTGTCCTTCCAGGGTTGTGTATATAACTCTGCTTATCTCTATCCCCTTTAACCTTTGCATACCACCCGGTATCTTCATTATTCTTCTTGCATATTGCCTTCATCACTTGTCTTCATCATTCTTCTTGCATATTGCCTTCATCACTTGTCTTCATCATTCTTCTTGCATATTGCCTTCTCTGTCACCCTAGTTAACACATGTCTAGCCCTCTAGCCAGTGACTTACTCTCCCTTCCCTCCCACCCCAGGTAACCATCAAATAATGTTTCTTTTAGCATGAAAACCTTGAGTGTTTTTTGTTTTTTTTTTAATAGTCTCATATTCATTTTTGTCCTTTTGTGATTGACTAATTTCACTCAGCATAGTGTCCTCCAGGTTCATGCATGTTATGAGGTGTTTTGCAGGTTCATTGCTATTCTTCAGTGTTGCATGGTATCCCATTTTTTGTATATACCAAAGTTTATGCATTCTTCCATTGATGCTCATTTAGGCTGTCTCCATCTTTTTGCTGCAATGAACATGGCTCATATATGCACGCATTTACTTGTGTTACATATCTGTGGATCTATATCAAGTAGAGGGAATGCTGGGTCCTGGTGTGGTGCTGCTGGATAATGGACTGGATTGTAAGGTAGTTTGAACCGCAAGGTTCGGATTCACCAGTTGCTCCTTGGAACCCTATACAGGGTCACTATAAGTTGGAACCGACTTGAAGGTACTTAACAACAACAACACGCCGTTTCTGTTTACAACTTATTGAGAATGTGCCATACCATTTCCCACAATGGTTGCACCATTTTACAGTCCCACCAGAAACGTAGGAGCAGATCACCAACTTTTTGGTTTGTAGTCAAGGGCTTAACCATCTCTGTCACCCCAGATTCCTCCTCTTTTATTTGTCCCACAAACACTATAAATTTATACTAGCTTAAGGACCTTTGCACAAGATGTTCCCTCTGTCTGAGACTCAGGTCTCAAAGGTTGCCTCCTTCTTGTTTAAATCTTAACACGGGTCATCGGCTCTGAGAGTGAGCCAGTCAGAAGCAGACTTGCATCACTCTCCACCACAACAGCCTGCTTATGTTCTTCAGGAAAGTTACTGCTGTCAATTGCCGGTTTATCTGTTTGTTACCTTTCTCCTACTACTAGAGTGGGCACTCTGTGAGAATGGGGACTTCATCATCTGGGCACTCCTGTATTTCTGTGTCGGGCACAGTAGGTCATCCAGCAAATTCCCAATGGATGAATTAGCGGATGAGTATCTAAGCCAGTCCATCCATCAGCACCCAAATCCAAACTCAAAGTGCCTTCTCAGAAATTTTAAAGTGTAAATTATCCATCTCATATTCAATATCACACTGGATGCTTCCCATCAGCTTTCTTTTTTTTACCATCCTCTTCAACTTTTTATTGTAATTTGGGTGAAAAGTTTACAGAGCAAATTAGTCATCTAGTCAACAATTTGTACATATTTTGTTTCATGACACTGATTGCAATCCCCACAATTCAACAATACTTTTCCCACTTCCCCCTTGTGTTTCCCATATCTGATGAAGAATTAAAATCCAAAAAACAAAACTCCTACAAAACAAACAAAAGCAACCTAATTTTTTCAATTGGCTGAAAACTTAAACAGGTACTTTACAAAATAACATACTTAAAGGGTGGATCTATCACCCATCTGTCAGTTTGTTGTATTGTGGGGGCTTATGTGTTGCTAGATGCTGGAAGATATGCCACTGGTATTTCAAATACCATCAGGAACACCTATAATGGACAGGCTTCAGCAAAACTTCCAGACTAAGACAGACGAGGGAAAGGTCTGACAATCTGCATCAGAAAGTTAGTCAATGAACTCTATGGGGGGAAATGTTTATGTGTTTGCCTGTCTTGTGGATATTGGTTTTCCCTGCGTACTACTGTAAAATAGACATTTATATGTGATAGAAATGAATATTAGGAATTATAATTATAGAAAGCTTATAAGCCCTTCTTCAATTTTCTTCTTCTTTTTTTACTAAAAGGGGAATTAGAATACACCCAGGGATATAAATACGCTTCTTGTTAAGCCTTTGTAGAGTATAGGGCCTTAGGTGGAATCTTGAGCCCTATCCAGAACCTTCTGAGTTGGGACATTCCCACTTTAAATGACAGGAAACCAACCCAGAACTGCTGGGAAAACAGAAGATTCTTATTGAAAGAAAGACCCGCAGAAAAAAGTGGACTGTTTTGCTGTTTGAATATCAAGCAAACTGTTTGCTTTGGAAGCATCAAGGCAAGAAAAGTCAGCCCTTCAGGGAAACGTCCCTTCTAGGATGGAAACTCAAAGGAAACCTGCTATCTGTCTAGTATGCACACTTGTGACCATCTGGGTCTACTTGTGAGTGGAAGTGGGGAAAATGCAACAGTGAAGGCTGAGTTTGGCCATGTTCCACTGACACCCATTGACTTTGAGATGAGAGAAAGCGAGGAAGCACTGGTTGCTCTGAAGTTTAGGGGGGTGTATGAACTCTTGAGGCCACAGGCACTGACCTAGCCTCTGGGAGCTAGGGCTGAGAGTGAAGTGGCCATCTGGTCTGAAGTGAAGGAAGGTGTGTGTGAATGACCACACTTGCAACTAGCACCCATTTGACCTAGCTTGGATGGCTGACCAGAATTTGACCAGGTGAAGATAAAGATGCTTGAGTGAGCAAGTATAAATTGCTACAGTTGGATAAACTGGACTTTTGCTTATGTATGCAGTTGCTCAAAATTCCAACCTTAATGGAAGAATTCTTCATGTCAATGAACAAGCTTATTTCCTCAGTGTACTGGGTTGATAGGGATGGGCAATTTAGACACTGGTTATCTAAAGGGGGGGCACTATAAAGGCATAAAATGACTGACTGACAAGCTTTTATGAGTGAAGGGGGTTAGGTAGAATCCCTACTGAATAGTTTTCCTTTTTTCCACATGGATCTGGTGAAAGGGGATGGGGGATGATGGTGACAGGATTTCATGATTCAGTTGTAATTAATTATGATTGTTACAACTGTAATTGTAGAAGATGTGTAACTAAAAGGAAGAGGGTTTGCTAATCATACAGGAACAGATGATCCCATGAGTGGAGCATGAGATCCTACCTAGAAAATCAGCGACTGCAGAGATGGCGGCATGGAGAGACAGAGCAGCTGTGGGCTCTAGGCCCATGGACTGAGTAAGGCTGTGTGCCTGTGGGCAAGAGGCTAGCATGCAGATTGTACCCTTTGGACATTTAAATGAATATATATATTTTTCTGGTAGCGTATTGGTTACGAATCGGGCTGCAAACCGCAAGGTCAGCAGTTCGAAACTACCAGCTGCTCCATGGGAGAAAGATGAGGCGTTCTGCTCCCGTAAAGATTAACAGCCTCGGAAACCCTGTGCAGGGTCGCTATGAGTC